GAATGTGTTGTTAGTTAGTTAGTTTTAGGTCAGTCTATGGTACCCTGAAAACCAAAATGTTTTAAACTCTACTAGCCAAAAAAATCGGGCGCATAGCCTGGCCCGGAGACCAAAATCCGGAAGGAGCCTTAACCATCGACATTGTCGTCAACGATCTCCCAAGGGGGGTAAAAATAACTCTGGGAGACCAGCGTATGATGATTCTGATGGGGCCAGCAGCTATACGTTACTTATACTCATACTTATAAAGACAATAGATCTTCTTTTAATAATTTTTACATATTAAAACTTTAAATCTGAATATGCTTAATACCATCACATCTTTTATTTATTTTGTATCCAAGACTTGAATTATTTTAATTTCGTTTGGGACCTTATTAAATAGTTTATTGCACAAATATTTTATTAACGTGTATACCAAGAATAAACTTTTCAATATTATAATGTTTGATAATGCAGACATTTTACTTACTCAGTCCGATTTAAAAAATCCTAAAAGAAATTTAAGAGAATCTATCTTATCTGATAGCAAAATCATTTAAAAAGCAATAGCTCCATAATTTTCAAAAATGCAATACTATTTATACTTTTTAATTTAAAAAAACATAAATACTATCACTTGCGGCACAAACACTGATTTTTTTAAATTAAAAATCGCATAAAATTTAACGGTTAAGGAAAACAATTACAAGGTAGTCATGCGCAAGAGAAATTTTTTATTATAAAGAATAATCAGAACACAACGTCCAACGCTAAACGTTGGTCTCGCTGATTTTAAAGTGGTTTACCTGTCGGTTTAAACAAAAGTAAGAGCGTATAAAAAAAGTTTATCACATCGCGCAAAATTTCACATTGATATCTCTTTTAGTCTATAAACCTCCAATGAATCAGTTAGGTGAATCATATATACGAGGTGTGTTCAAAAAATATTAGGAATTTTCGTTTTTTGAAACAAATAATTATTTATTCGTCTATATTAATGTTGTCGCCTTCAAAATAGTCCCCATTGGATATTATGCACATGTGCCAGCTCTTTTTCCAATACTCGAAATACTTCTAAAACTCGATCTTTGGGATAGCCTTTAGTTCTTTCATCTATGCTTGCAAAACGACGGCCCTTTAAGGTTCTCTTTATTTTTGGGAATAGGAAAAAGTCAGACATAGGCATGTATTACAGTATTGTTTTTGGCCAAAAATTTTGTTCAAAATTTAACAATTTTGGAACAAATTTTGCTGCCACCCGTTTCATACCCAAAACATTCGAAAAAATTTCATGGGATGAGCCAATCGATATACCAACATCATCAGCGACTTCTCTGAGGGTTTATAACCATTTCTTTCACTTTTTCCATGTTTTTATCGGTTGTTAATGTGCTTGTGCGTTCGGGGCGTTCGTCATCGTCTTCACGGCCGTCTTGGAAACTCTTATACCACTTATAAACTCTTGTTTTACTTATAGCAGACTCACTATAGGCCTTTGTTAACATTTCACAGAATTTATTTCATTTTTTAAGCAAAATTGGATACAAATTCTTTGATCCATTTCTTTCGAACGAACGAAAATCGCCGAGATCATAAAACACGCCTAACCTTGGCGGCTGCCAGACAAAGTAAACAATGAAAACAGCTAAAGTTTTTATCATACTTCGGGGGCATATATACCAACATAATAAAGAAAATTAACAACCGGACCCTCCGAACTCGCGAAATTTAACATTTCCCGTTATTTTCTGAACACACCTCGTACACAATTGTTTACTTGTTATATATTGCGCATTGCACAACAGTTGCCGATTTTTATATTAATAAAGTATTTTTTTTTAATTATGTTATAGCAAACCTTTTGACTTTCATAAGAATAGGTACCTCTTTTAGGAAAGTCGAAATTACAATTAAGATAAAAGTTAAAAAGGTAACAATGTATGTAAAATTCAAGCGGTGATTTTACAGCCTAAATATAAAAAAGCTACTAAGAACATGGGGTCAAGAAGAGCTGCGCCCCTTTGAAGATTTCACTCTGCATTTACATTTTATTTATAAACTAGAAAGCTGTGGAAATTGCCACCACCAGGTCTCATATGAAAAGAAGTTTAAAAATTGACCATGTAAACAACGCGATTTTTGAAAATTTGATAATGGCAATTGCCACCGTCGGGGCCAAAAGGGTAAGAATAATAAAATTTGGCACACACTCTACAGTTAAAAAAATTCAACTTTTCTCGACTTTTCTTTTGTAGACCCGATATTGACATATTATGAGGGCATTTCCTTCCTTCCATTTCCTTTGTTTATTTTTTACTCCTGGTAATTGAGTTTTTTTTATATTTTGCACTTAAAATTTTTGATGGAATTCGAGACACTGTATCTATATAATTAATCCCGGCGCATTCGCCATTTTTGGATTTTAATTTATATTAAATATATATTAATAATATATATTAATAAATATAATTTATATTAAATATATATTAATAAATTAATAAATTTTATTTTTCTACCCGCACCTTTAAAACGCCCATTATAGTACTTGTTTTCATGATCTTCACGGGCTTAAGTTAGTTTCAAGTTAGTTAATACTAAATGTGAAAATATTTTATTATCTTAATATAAAAATAAAAAAGTATTAAATAGTTTCTCAAAGCCAATATTTAAAAAGTTAATAATCAGTTGTACTGACGTTTTGATTTCGCCGGCAGTAAACTAGATTTAACTGATTTCAGGTAGAGATTCCAACGTGGAGTGCCTATAAAACATTATCTATATCAAATTTTTTTTTTCAAGGGATAAATTTCGATTTAGGTACATGTAAAAATTTGACATTTAGACTGGCGCGCCAGTAATACAGATTTCCACCAGTATTGCCAGAAGTAGTAAAAAAACTACCAAATTTAACTTTTAAAATGGATCAAATTTTACCAAAATGTACCTCTCATTTAAATGCAATAAACAAAACGTTTTTGGGCTTTTCGTTTTCCCCCCTAAAATTAAATATAGCGTGTTGCCAACAGAAAAATATAAAAATAAAACTAATATAGATACCTAGTCGCTGTTGTAAGTGGAATACTAGGAAATTACCAGGCAGGATATAGAAATTTCATGAAAATGTACCAAAATAGTCCAACCATTGCACCATATGTACCACAAGGGAATTCATGTACCACCTCTGGCAACACTTATTCCCACACAGAACACAAGTTAGTTAGTTAGTTAGTTAGTTTTATATGTCTCTATACAATATGAATACATTCAATATTTAAATGAACCCTGCAAGAATATCAGGTGTTTTTTTAAATTTGCAAATTTATTTTATATATTAAATAATCTGTAGGTAAATTATCATCAATAAACCAATTAGAACACGGCATTCACCATAACACCTTAGATAATTCCGTGATATTTACATAATAATAATTTAAATTGTTAAGTACCTTCCTTATAAATGCAAAAATATCAGGTGTTTTTTACATTTGCAAATTTATTTTCTATGTAAAATGATCTGTAAATAAATATTAATAAACCAATCATATCGCAGCATTTACCACAGCACACTAGATAATACCGTAATCACTTTCGATAGAAACAACTTTCTATAAAAAGAAAAAAGGCAAATTTAAAAAACACTTTCGTGTCGCACTTTTGACGTGTCTTGTCTTATACGCTTAAGAAGTATCGGGTTTTCGCAACGCGCGCGCCATCTGGTGGACTTCACAATCATTGGGTGAATTTAAAGCATACGAACTGTACATCATTTTTAAATAAATAGGTAGTTTTTTCACAAAAGAGAGGTAGGCACAAGTCTTACTCGACAAATTTAGCTAAATCGCACACGTTATTTGTGTTTTACGTTCCAACGAAAAAACTAAAAAATGGTTTAGTACTCGAATTCTACTGATTATTCTTTATATCATTGATTAAGAAACTCAACGCTAAAATGCTTATATAGTTACGTTAGTGTGTGTATTTTATCAAAGGAATCATAGTGAATTATTGTGTTTTTAATTGTAAAAAAAATTCAAGAAATAAATCGTTGCATTTTCATGTTTTGCCAAAGGATCCAATTCGGTAAGTACATTTGTTGGTGCAGAATTAAATAATAATAACTTTACCTAATACAATTTATATTTAAGTTTGGACATTTTTAAGAAATTAGTTAAAATTAATTTTTGCACAAACATAACCTTAAAACCAACCATTTTTATATTTGAGTTCTCTAAAAAACGCCGACAACTGCATTTTAAACAACTAAATATACCTATGAATTCATGGCAACATAATATTTTATACATAATACATAATATAATGTTATTTTACCGTTGAGTGGAGACTGTATTAATCAACGCTTTTAATAATGCTGAATTCTGTTTAAATTTAGACGACTTATTTGTTTGAGGATTTTAACTGAATTGAAATGTTTACACTTTTCACGTTATCACTACTAAAATGTGTATTTATTGTATCTAATAGGTACAATTTATATTTACAGAGACTATATGCAATTTATTTCTTCATTCAGATTAACACTGTTTATTGGAAAACCGGTAAAAACTCAACCCAGGATTTTCTCTCGAAATACACCCACGTTTTTTTTTTTCGATATTTTTTAACATTTTCCGGCTTTATTCTCAAAATTACTCGTTTGTAACATAAGCGTTTGACAGCTGAATATTAAAAGTTATACTTTTGTTACGATGATAACAGCCGAGTGGTGGCGCTACTAGCGATACTTCTTTAGCGTATAGACAATTTGAGAAACCATTAAAGGTTCCCACAATAGATTTTATTGAAACTATAAATATAATCAACTATAAACTTCACTAGTGGAAACGCACCTTAGGCATAATGTTTCTCATAAAATAAACAGAGTTTCGTTTCAATCCATGCCATTAAAATTGTGATTAAAGTGGTTTGCACACTTCTCCTTTTGCTCCTTTCGTATCGAGTAGGCAGGCTATAGGAGTAGGCGATGGATTGACGATTGCTCGTGTGTGTTTTGTTTGCAGCGGCATAATTCTGTACGGCATGGTGGTGGGTCAATTGCCGTTCGTGTGCGGCAAGAGCGAGAGCCTTTCATCCCAGGAGCGCAGAAAGAAGCTGGTGCTGCTGATAAATCGAGGCCTTGTGAGCAATCAGAAACGTGCTCTGGCTCCGTTTTCCAGCGATTTTCGACATCTGGTAAACACGCTGCTTAATGCTGATGCCGACAAGAGGCTCGGCGTCAAAGAGCTTATTACTCATCCGTGGATAACGGAAAAGGGGAAGAAATATATACGCACTAATCCCCTTAAGCATCTCGACAAACAAATGCAGGCAAAGGTATCGACGCTTTCATACATTTTTAATAAACCTATAAAATGCCTGTATTCTTTCCTCTCCCTACGTTACATTGCATGCACAATATTTTGCAAGGGGTTTTTTATTTGCAGGATTTTTATAAAAATAACTATGTTTGTTTTCTAAATTTTACATGGCATAATAAGTTTTTTATAAAATCAAAATTTCTTTGTTACTATACTAAAATTAAAAGTACTGTACTATAAAGGGGCCACCCTCAAGGTTTACGGATTTGTATGTAAAAATAAAAAAAAATCTTCAGACCCGTGTACTTTTGTTTTCAGGGGAACATATCGATGGTTATTTGACAAAACATCGTAAGCGACAAAACCTAAATTTTACAGGAGAGATTTTTTTTGTGTGGGAGCTTTATTTTTAAAGTTATGTATCTGAAAACTAATGAGGCATTATTTTATTAATGTAGAATTCAAATATTTAAGTTAGATCGAATCCAATCTAAAATTTTCATTAAATTTTGTGGCATACAATATTTTATAAGAACATCTTTAGGAAAATGTAAAATTAGTCTTGTCGCTTAAGTTACATTTACGTTACTTTGTGGGATATAGATTTGATGATTACTTTTGTCAAAAAATTGTTAGTGATATTTACAATTTATAAAATATCACCAACGATATTTTGCCAAACAATGTTTGAAAATAAAAATCTACATTAGCTTTCTTAAAAAAAACGAACGATTATTATTCACAAACCAGTATCTAACCAGTATCTAACCCATATGTTTATGGTATTATATATTTTAAATCACCGACTTATGAACTGACATTAAGCATAAGGTAGATCATATGCCAAATTGACAAATTTCCTCTCAAAAAAGGAAACAAGGTCATTTAAGGTCAATTTAGTTGATAAAAAAATAAGTTGATAAAAAATAATTAAAATAAAAATAATTTCATAAAAAAATTATTTGATAAAAAAAACTTCATGAAAAAATAATTTCATAACAAAATAAGTTGATAAAAAAATCCTTTCATAAAAAAATAAGTTGATAAAAAAATTATTTCATAAAAAATAAGTTGTTAAAAAATAATTGAATAAAAAAATAATTTGGTGCATTCCCGGTTGCATAGTGTGTACCGATCGCGGCAAAGGCGGTGTGGATCACGTGATGTTCTTAAATCTCGCCTCTGTTGACTTACATGAATAGTTTATAAGCTCAGGTAGTCCTTTGCTTTGGTGTGTACTACAAGTTGTTTGATACTAAAGAGACCTTAAATAGGTGGAAACAGCTGTCAATACTTGAAATATTTTAAGTTGGTTGAACGCACTAAAAACATTATTTCTAGCAAGTTGAAGGTTCAATTTTCTGGAATAATACCATTGGTAATAAACTACTAATGCGTCAAGGTCCTTGACTCAAGGAACTTCCTGTTTCCTTTTTTTTCCTTTTTTTCTGTGTAGTATGATTTAATTTGACCAAAAACACATAATATTTAACACTGAAAAGGAGTTCAATTTACACCAGGTAAAATTTATTTTAATACTGTGTGAAAGTTAAATTTACACTATTTTAGTATTTGAATTTACACTGGACCAACGAACCATATTTAACACCATTTTGGTTTGTATCGATATAGACCATGTATGGTGTTAATTTGGTGTTAAAAAGGTCATGAAATTTTGAACAGTGTATGCCTATATTAGCTGAGCAAAATATATTTATAATATACTATATAATATACTATATACTATATACTATATAATATACTATAGTAAAAATTTAATACGCCTATATTCGGAAAAGTGGTAAACTATTATCACAATTAACAACATTTTTTTTTTGATCGGACAATGTTTGGAGGACCCGCCACCTCCTTAAACTGCAGATTTTATCTTTCGAACTTTAAAAAGGTGGCGGAACATCCAAAAATTGCCTGATCACTATAATATTAATTTTTTTCCATTAAATGTTTTTCTCAGCCAATATGGATATATTAAATGGTTACATTCATGTATTTCACTCCACCCTAACGTACATCTTGGTTACATCCTAGAATTAGTAGCAAAATTCCGGCAAACTGGTTCAATGGAAAATAAAAAACAAAAGTATTCGGGTCCGAAGATTTTTTTAATTTTTACATACAAAGCCGCACACCTTTCTGGGCTGTTTTTGATAAGCAACCCTGTATTATCAAATGGATTTTAACATTAGCAATAACTCATAAATTAAGAAAACGGTACCTATAGGTACCGTTTTCTTAATTTATGAGTTATTGCTAATATACCTACCTTATCTTGAAAATTCCCGGCGCATTCGCCATTTTTGAACTTTATATAATTATAATTTGCATTTACAAAACTTTTTTTATTAAACTTCACGACAGTATAATTATAATTATAATTATTGGCAAGTTTACTCCATAATAATTATTTAAAATTCATTTAAAATCTCTGCTTTCGCGATCACGCTCATGCGATTGGTCGATCGAGTTTTGACGTTTTGACGCTGAATTTACGATTTTTATTTGAAAAATTCAAAAATGTACCTTTTAAATAGTAAAATGGGGTTTTAAAACCACTTTTGACCCATTTTTTGACAAGAACTTTCAGATTTAGAGCAATGTTGACAGATGTAAAATATTTACGTTTTTCAGGGAAACTTAATATGCAAATAGTTACATATTAAAATAATTCAAAATTAACGCATAGCAAGTAAAAAAAATCCAACTGTAAAACGCCTTTACCAATCTTTATAAAATTTTCAAGGGTTTCTCGAGAAAATGTCCTTAAAGCCCTTTTATTTAATAACAAAAAACGCTTGAAAAAAACTTGTATAGAGAAATAAAAGTAAATAAAAAATATGTTGTGATTCACAACTTGTGAAAGACCGTATTTTTAATAGTATACCCTGAAAATTAGTAACGAAAATACAGCGCTTCAAAGTCGTCTAAAATTACCACTTTTCAGCAAAATAATCAAAAAGGAGTCATTTTTATTGACTGCTGTATCTTCATTACTCTTCGTTTGATTTGTACAAAATTAGGGTATACTAACAAAAATATGGCCTTTAACAGCATAATTTTTATTTACTTTCTAAAAGTTTTTAACGTTTTTTTATTATTAAATAAAAGGGCTTTAAAAATATTTTCTTGAAAAACCCTCGAACACGTAAACTGAAATATAAGTTAAAGTATTTTTATACAAATTTTTATGTTAATGACATAATTTTAAATCTGACAACATTGTAAATTAAGGAGGTTCGGGCAGTACATTACAAATAGGTTTAAATAACGATAGGTATCAACTTACAAAAACAAAATTTGTTTTGTTATTGTTTTACATTTAATTTAAAAAATTGCAAATTTTCTAACTGATTTTATTATTATTTTTTATTTTAATACAAAGGACACTACATATCGCTCATCCGGAAGAAAACGGTCACAACTCAAAAAAGTTAAATTTTCAGGAGAAGCAATTTAAAGTTGCAAATAATTTAATTTATCGAACTGTTGATGTTTATGGATTTTTTTTTTAAAGTAATATTTATTTTAAAACATGGCTTTTTTAAAAGTACTTTGTTTTAATCTGAATTACTTTAAATTTTTTGTTTGTTAATGAGAAAAACAAATCCTTTCAATGACAGAGATGTGTCACTTTTCTACTAAATTTGATGCAAATTTTGTTTCCAAATTCATTAAATAAATCCCTCAAACATTGTATTAAACATTTTATTTATTGAAAATATGAACAGTTTAAAAAAAGAACGTACCTAAACATTGAGTTATCAAAACGGAATATAATAATTTACCTACTATAATTCGGTAGATTGCTAGAAAGGAACATTGTAACAAAAAAGGACACAAATAAAAATATGACCGTTATCAATTGAAAGTAAAACAAAAATCACTGTTATAACCCGAGATGTGACGTTTTTCCCGAAATAAATCGTTTGTCTCGCTTTGACGTATGAATAAAGACTGAAAAGTGTCGCTTTAGTTCTGTGAAGTTATGCATTTGCGCGCTAGGGATGAAGTGACACAAGTTCCATCTCTCGGGTAATACTAAAAGTTTAGATGAGACATTTTTCTACAACATAGAATATGATGTTTGGAATTAATTTCAATTAAAAACTCAATTTTTGGATTTTCTGAGTTGTGACGGTTTTCCTCCGGATGAGCGATATATACACATATATTCCAACACAAAAACTTGAATAAAAAAAAAGTAAAATATAGGATTTAAACGCGACAACATTGCAAGTTGTTAATAGTTGGTTTCTATGGTGAAGTTTTTGGCTTTTGACAGTGGCGGTGACAGTTCTATATGACGTGATATTTAAAATCCTAAAATGAGTTGTGAAAACGAATGAAATCCATTACAAAGAAAAAATAATAAAAAGAAGGTATGAAAAAAAATGCAGTATGTTGAATGCAGCAAAAGTCCAAAGAGAAGAGAAGAAAAATAATTTATAATAAATAACTTAATGTAATTTTGTTTTTTTTTAATTTAGGTACTTTGAAAACGATATTTTTGGTTGGACATAGTCAACATTATCATTTATTATTGCAAAACTATGCGGTGAAAGTTAACAAAAATGTATATGGGGCAAAATTTGCCAAGTGTACCAGGTGAAAAAAATGTTGTCACCGATTTTGTTTAAACTTTACTTATTTGTTGTTCTTATAACGAAGAATCATAGCATAATTTTTTTTTGCTCTAGGATTGTTCATTCAAGAGTTATGGATTATTGAAATTTATCGATTTTTTACTTTTTGGTGAAATCGCTTTTTATTTAAAAATTCATAACTTCTGTTCATCTCTTTATTAAATATTTCAATTTAACCACCTTAAATGATTTTTTCCGTACTTTTCAATGGGCTATACCGTTTTTGCAAAAAAATAAAAATTGCAATTTTTTTTGAAATTTTGCAAAATTTTGCATTTTTTGAAACAATGTGTATTTTTTAATTTTTTTTAAAATAGCCTAAAATCCAAGTTTATTATGTTACCTTTGAATAAAAAAAAATTTAGAGTGGGCCCGACATGTAGAAGGGAAGTTTTTCATATTTGAATGCGTGCGGGTCTAGCCATCGAATAGCTACTACACTGCCTTATGCGTTTAAACCTAGTAGATGCGAGTAAACGAATACAAAATGATAATTTAAAATGTAAAATTATGTTTGAGTAGTCAATAATGTATTTTAAATATTTACACTGCCGCACGATATAGTTTTTTTATTGTATATTAGTCCTTCGGAGGGGACTTTAAGCCCGCGGTCCGTTCCTACCCCTAACCCGCACAAGTCATTCAGTTGGCTTATGGGACTTCTTAAGAAGTAAGGGTGGAACTAAAAGAGCACTTTTGTATATAAACTGTATTTTTTTGCACAAATTGTTTAAGCATGGGTCTACATAGATTTCGCAAGGAGGGTCGATGATATTAAATAAAAAATGTATTGTTATAACCGTAAAGGCGCCATTCAGCTTATAGGCAAGCCGTTACGGTTATAACAATAATTTTTTTATTTAATATCATCGATCCTCCTTGCGAAATCTATGTAGACTCATGCTTAAACAATTTGTGCAAAAAAATACAGTTAAAAACTATATCGTGCGGCAGTGTAAATATTTAAAATACATCATTGACTATAGTCAATGTACTATCAGTATACTCAAACATAATTTTACATTTTAAATTATCATTTTGTATTCGTTTACTCGCATCTACTAGGTATAAACGCATACGGCAGTGTAGTAGCTATTCGATGGGTAGACCGTGCGGCATTCAAATATGAAAAACTTCCCTTCTACATGTTGGGCCCACTCTAAATTTTTTTTTTATTTAAAGGTAACATAATATACTTGGATTTTATGCTATTTTAAAAAAAATCTATGTAGACCCATGCTTAAACAATTTGTGCAAAAAAATACAGTTAAAAAACTATATCGTGCGGCAGTGTAAATATTTAAAATACATCATTGACTATAGTCAATGTACTATCAGTATACTCAAACATAATTTTACATTTTAAATTATCATTTTGTATTCTTTTACTCGCATCTATAAACGCATACGGCAGTGTAGTAGCTATTCGATGGGTAGACCGTGCGGCATTCAAATATGAAAAACTTCCCTTCTACATGTCGGGCCCACTCTAAATTTTTTTTTTATTCAAAGGTAACATAATAAACTTGGATTTTATGCTATTTTAAAAAAAATTAAAAAATACACATTGTTTCAAAAAATGCAAAATTTTGCAAAATTTCAAAAAAAAAATTGCAATTTTTATTTTTTTGCAAAAACGGTATAGCCCATTGAAAAGTACGGAAAAAATCATTTAAGGTGGTTAAATTGAAATATTTAATAAAGAGATGAACAGAAGTTATGAATTTTTAAATAATTAGCGATTTCACCAAAAAGTAAAAAATCGATAAATTTCAATAATCCATAACTCTTGAATGAACAATCCTAGAGCAAAAAAATTTTATGCTATGATTCTTCGTTATAAGAACAACAAATAAGTAAAGTTTAAACAAAATCGGTGACAAAATTTTTTTCACCTGGTACACTTGGCAAATTTTGCCCCATATGGCACTTCTACAGATAAAAAAGCATACGAGAAAAAAAATTCATTAATTTTTGAATGTCACGTTATAATATATGCATTAAATAAAGACATGGGCTGTACGAGGTGTGTTAAAAAAATAACGGGAATTTTTAAATTTCGCGGGTTTGGAGAGTCCGGTTGTCATAAAATTGTCTTTATTATGTTGGTATACATATTCCTGTAGATTCTACAGTGTAGAATGATAAAAAATTTAAACGTTTTCATTGTTTACTTTGTCTGTGGCAGTCGCTAAGGTTAGACGTGTTTTTATGAGCTCGGCGATTTTCGTTCGTTAAAAGAAATGGATCAAAGAATTTTTATCAAATTTTGTGTAAAAAATGAAATAAAGTGTGTGAAATGTTAAGAAAGGCCTATGGTGAGTCTGCTATGAGTAAAACAAGAGTTTATAAGTGGTATATGAGTTTCCAAGATGGCCGTAAAGACGTTGAAGATGAAGAACGCCCTAGACGCCCAAGCACATTAACAACCGATAAAAACATGGAAAAAGTGGAAGAAATGGTTATGAACGATCACCGAATCACAATCAGAGAAGTCGCTGATGATGTTGGCATATCGATAAAATTGTTTCGAATGTTTTGGGTATGAAACGCGTGGCAGCAAAATTTGTTCCAAAATTGTTGAATTTTAAACAGAAGTTTTTGCCAAAAACAATACTGTAATGATGGACCAGCCTACATATTCGCCAGACATGGCTCCGTCTGACTTTTTCCTATTTCCCAAAATAAAGAAAACCTTAAAGGGCCGTCGTTTTGCAAGCATAAATGACATTAAAAGCGCATAGCTGAAAGAACCGTTATTTTCTGAACACACCTCGTATAGGAGATGTATTTAATTAACGCATAACTTATAACATGACAATAAGAAATCAATATTTTCCAATAGCGACTAATAGCGTGCCAGAACCTCCTTAAGTTTAGTTTTTCTGCGCCTAAAAATGCTTAAAATAATGAATTATATTCATTGTTTTTTAAACAATATCTCGAAAACAAATTCTAATTGAGCAAAATGATGAATATTTTTGGAATCATTTTCCCTGTGGTAAACAAAAAATTTAATCTTGTGGACCAGTATAATTAAACGTTTTTTTTAAACCAACACTTATTTAACCCACTTTATAATTATTTTAAGATAATATCCTTTATTCAATCAAGAGGTTAATTGGAAATACAATATTTAAAGGGTCCAAAAGAACCTCCAATTAACTTTTCACACCATATAATTTCTTAATATCCCCGGTCAGAAACTCGAACTACAATCATTAATACAGTATTTTCTCTAAAAACATTTTTCTAGATTATTTCCGAGGTGTCCCTTTTGACAGACGTTAATCCAGAAACAGTTGTGGATTTAATTAAAAGCGAACCGTTTGATAAGGTAGCAGGAATGTACCATATTTTATCTCATAGGCATCGATTAAACCAACTAAATGGGGACGGAGTTACAAAAAATCTAGGATCCGAGATTATACTGAACTGTGAGCATAGTTCACTATATTTCAAGGAATTTCCAACTAGGTAAGACAGTATATTTAAATGTTACTTAAAGGTCGGGAAAAAATTAAACGGTGGATTCCTTAATACGGGTTTTTGTTTACAAGTTACAAGATGTTAAAAAAAATTATTATTTTAATTGTAAGAAAATCAAATTTTTGTTTTATTTGGTAAAGTATTTTTAATGTTTATACTAACATTTTCCTCGTCATGTTCCTGTTACCTTTATTTACCTGGCTAGACTATGGAAAAACTGGTATTAATCAAATTTATTTACAGAAAAAGAGAGAAACAATTTTTTTTTAATTAACAAACCAAAAAAATAGTTGTGCAGTGGCGTACCATATTTTTCTTTGTAGAGCCCTACGGCAATATCCTTATGTACGCCACTGAGTAACCTACAAAGTCATTTTTATTACTTAGGCAAATCCAATCAGCAAATGCAAAAAGAAAACCAAAAGCTAAAGAAAAGGTTACAGAAGATGTCAAAAAAATTCACTTCATGGATGAAAATGTGGCAAACAAAGTAAATAAGGTTAAAAAAATTGATCCTAACCTGAAAGTTAAAAAAGACCCACCGTTTACTATTAAAGATTATGAAAGGTAAGGAAATGTTAGAATTGGGGTTTATTTTCAAGAATAACATTAATATTTTTTAGAATAAAACTTAGATGTCAATTGGCTTCCGGAAAAGTAAAAGAAAAAGAAAAACGTCCTGTAACTGTAACATTTGAACCAAATGGAGAAAATGAATCTTATGGGTATTAAATTTATAAATTTAATATTTTTATAATTTTTAAAATGACTATTTTAAATGAAATGCTATTTTAGCAATTGTTTTATTTGGTAATACATTCTGACATTTGCTAAGGCTGGATCATAGAATACTCGATTATGGTACCTGTATAGCTGTGAAAAATCTGGTAGTTAGAAAACAGTATACAAATAAAACGGGGAAAATTTTGTTTAAAATAAAATTTTTAAAAATAAACAAAAATATTTTTTCCATGGCGTACTATATAAAACCCTTTGGCAATATTTGTATGTACGCCACTGAGTAACCTACAAAATTTTTTCTTCTACTAGAGCAATTTTAAATAAAGCAATTGCTAAGATTTTGTTTCCTTTTTTTAATGTTTAAACAAAACATTAGAGGTCATAAGAAAAAACTATTTTTTTTACAAAGGAATCCACCATTTCATTTTTCCAACGTTGATGTAACACCCTGTTTAAAGGAAGGTTTTAGGATAACAACGGTGAGATTGCTTTTAGATCTCACCCTTATTACAGTACCTTTCTTCTTCATAACGAAAAACTTTTTTAAGAGGCAGACCTTGCAGTGGTCATCCAGACAACTGCCAAATAGAAGATAAGGAACTAAAAAAATCTAAAAAACAGACTCAAATGGACATAAATAGAATACCGGATTACAGGCAAATAAAATCTCCAACTTTAAGAAGGAAAGCATACTCTGCTGCTTTGGATAAAAAATCAACGAGTAATAGTAATACCAAACCACGAGAAAACAAGCATGCGTTACTTGATTTAACCGAAAATGGAGTCGATGTGAATGATGTTAAGAATATTGTATGGTAAATTTTGTACTTAAATACATTAGCAATATTCGGATATGTTTTTTAATATATCTTAGTTCCCGTACAAAGAACCCACTGGGTTTTTATGATGGTATAAAGTGTACAAAAGTTCATAAAGAGGATAAATCCAAAATTCCGATTATCAGGCAAACGCAATCGGCAAATGTAAAAAGTAAACCAAAAGCTAAAGAAAAGATTACGAAGGATGTCAAAAAAATGCACTCCTTGGATGAAGCTTTGGCGACCAAAGTAAAAAAAGTTGAAAAATTTGATTGTAACCTAAAAGTTCCTAAAAAAGATGCGTTGTTTTCCATTGAGGATTATGAAAGGTTTGTGCCTATTTTAGTTTTGTTTTGGGATTTATCAAGAAATAATTTTATTACTTTTTTAGAGTAAAACTTAGATCTCAATTGGCTTCCGGCAAGGTAAAAGGAAAACGTCCTGTTACTGCACCATTTGAACAAAATGTGGAAAAAGGGTGTTATGGGTACCTATATTATCTTTATAATTTTTATTTTTATGTCTTACAATTTACATTATTTTTTGTTAAAGGATTTTTATATTTGTTATAAAAAATCAAAAAAAAAAACAAATATAGAAAACAAAAATATACATATATACCTTTAGGCCATATTAGTATCTGTGATACAGTTTGCTGTGTGCAGTCTTGGTTGCATAGTAAGTACCGATTGTGGCAAAGGCCACGTCGTTAGACGGTGTGGATCACCTGATCTTCTTACATCTCGCCTCTGTTGGTTTACCAACCGAGCATATAAGCTCAGGGAGTCCTTTGTTTTGGGTGTGTTCCACTACACCAAGTTGCCCGACACTGACGAGACCCAATATAGGTCGAAACAGCTGTCTGTCGGTATTTAAAGTTGGTGGAGCGCACTCAAAACAAAAAACTTCGTCGAGGTGTAGGTTCAATTTTTTTCTAAATAAAAACTCGGTTTTGAAGTGATCGAGGCTGAAACGTCAAATTATCGAGGGTTCCTATTTCTCCTTACTTATACGAATTTGTAAAATTGGAAAGAAAATAGCTGAATCCATACCAGTACTACATAACCTACAATTCCAAGAACAAGAGAATCAGGAGTGTGTATATTTTCAGCCCTGTACAAAAAAAGAAGTACGAAACATCATTAAGAGTATAAGGACTAATACACCAGGACATGATGGTATTAGCAGGCAAGATTTGATAGACAACCTAGACATCATCGACATATCTATAGCAAAAATTATTAACAACATATTTAAAGAAGGATATTTTCCACAAGAGCTCAAAATAGCAAAGCTTATTCCACTACACAAGGGAGGCGCTAAAAACGATGTAGGAAATTATAGGCCAATAGCCATATTGCCTATTTTTTCAAAAATTTTAGAAAAAGCAATAAAAGTCCGGATGATTAACCAAATTGATAGAACATTTCAGTTTGATAAATACCAATATGGCTTTCAAAAGAAGAGTAATACTCTATGTGCAGCAACCGATCTTCTGGAATATACATGTAGCAAGCTAAATGAAAATAAATATGTTGTGATAGTTTTTGTTGACTTACAAAAAGCATTTGATACAGTGAATACTCAGGTGTTATTAAATAAACTATATAAAATGGGTTTTTGTGGTCCAGTCCACAAATTACTGAAGACCTACCTATGTAACCGTCTTCAATATACTGAAGTGAATACTGTTGAAAGTGAAAAAGGTACTGTTAATATAGGAGTACCACAGGGATCAGTGTTAGGACCAATTTTATATCTTTTACATGTGCATAGTCTACAATATGCAGGGCTAGAAGCCAGGTATTTTACTTTTGCGGATGACACTGCACTGGCATACTCAGGTACTGATTTGACTGAAATTCAAACTGTGATAAATTGTGATTTAGAACTTTATAGTAAATGGTTGGCTGTGAATGAACTAAGTGTTAATGTTAAAAAGACTGTCTTTATGTTAATAAAACAAAAAAAATAAACTTGATAGCAATATTTCACTAATGTTACATAATGATGTAGTGGATGATAAAGAAAGTGGATGTGTATAAATACCTTGGATTAAATATTGACTGTAGGGGACAATCATATAAGTGCACTAATAAAAAAGATTATACCTCTCATAGGTGTATTTTACCGTACTAGTAACCTAATAAGTGATCGTTATAAAAAACAAATATATTTTAGTTTATTATGCTCAAATATCCGGTATCTGATACCTTGTTGGGGAAATGCAGCAGGGTATTTGCTAAATAACCTACAAAGAGCTGAAAACAAGGCTTTAAAAGCACTTTTTAAGATGGACTATGGTTTACCAACGCAACAAATTTATTTAAAAACGAAACTACTAAATATTGAAAAATTATGTCAATTGGAACAACTGAAACTTGCATTTAATGTTAAAACATTAGGATGCAAAATAAATTACATGACAGTAGCAAATAGCGATATACACCACTATCATACAAGAAGAAGAGATGACATAAGAAATGATTTCAGATCAACTTGCAAAACACAAAGTTCTCCCATATATATTGATATATCAATCGGTGCAGCAATACAACCAGCTAAACACAGAAACAAAGATGATTCAAGACTTAAGTAGATTTATTGTTGTTATTAAAAAGTACCTGGCACCCTAAAAGATTTAGTTTTAATTTATAAAGAATCTAAATATATTTTATTTTTTATATAATGTTATGTATATTTTATATTGAAATATTTAGTTCTGGGAGTTATTAAAGAAACATATATATTTTTTTATATAGTATTTTTTGTATAGAAATGTTATAATTACTGTAATTATATTATATACTCATATAGGCCCTGGTACCAGTTTTTGTTAAACTGTTTTAGGGTCAGCAATAAATAAATAAATAAATAAAATAAATATGATTTCTTCTACGTTGACTCTCCTTAATATGAATTTTTTAAAGTACCTCAGAGTCACTGACTGTTGCCTCATGATTCGGTTTATGCCGTACGCAAAAAGTTTTACTAAAAAATCAGTTTATAAGATTATGCTAGACCCCCCATTTTTATCTCACGTAATAAATGGACGTCCCCTTAGTGGAAACTATACCGGGAGAAACGCAGTTTTATTTCTATTCAATGTTTCGGTAGCAAAAACTCTGCTTAAGTAATTGTTTTTACTTGAACGAATAAACGAATGTTGTCACTAAAAGATAAGCCTGCATTGCAGGCCCTGCAAAACATTGTTTCTTTAATATGTTATCACATAAAAACATAATTTTTCTAAAAAACGTCATAACTGCGTTTTTTAAGTTGTTCCCTTTATAATAAACTAAAAATTTAGGTTTTTTTAATTAAGTTCGCCATTTTTATCTTTTACAAAAAAAACTTCCTTTGTTTGATTTTGCATTTTCATTGTGTTTTTTTCGCCGAGCGACAAAGTAACCAAAACTCTCGCTTAGTTATCATGGAAACCAAAATAAAGAAACGTTTAGTGTACATATTTGCGACTTTTGACACAAAAGTCAAATTTGAGTTTATCAATAATTATTCTGTGTGTAATTGTTTGTAATTCGAGCGCAAAGTGACATTGCCGCTCTCGCGAGATAGCCGCGCTCCGCTTCTCGCTCAGAGCGACAATGTATCACTTTGCGCTCTTAATACACAAATAGCTATTTTTGCTAGTCACTAAAGTCAAATGTACAACAACTTGTCAAAGAAAATATTATTTTTTCTGACCGTACCTAGACCATTTTTTAAGAATTGCATTATTATAATGTACTTTTTCGCTTCGTTTTCAGCAAAAGTTTTCAGCAAATGGAACTTGCTTAAGAAAGTTCCATTTCTTAACCCAAATACTACCAAAACTATTTTTTTCATAAAGTAAATATTTTTTTTATAAAAATTGCATATTTAGGCCATATTTAACATACTTTGTCAATAAAAATTTGTTCTATTGTATATGGTTTTCCCAATACTGACCGTCCTTTTTAAAGGTCAGTTGCATAATAGGGGTTGACAAGAAAAAAAAAGTCAAGAAAAAATCCACATTTCTTTGCCGTCCTTTTAAAAGGACGGTGGCACTATTTGGGTTAAAAAAGTTCCATTTTATAAAAACTTAAAGATAAAATGCATTATAATAATGTACTTCTGGAAAAATTGTCTAGGTACAGTTAATTAGCATTTATAGCAAATTTAAAATGTTTAACACTTTTTAGAAAGCATTTGTAAAAAAACAAACAAAAAATGGTGGTTAATGTCAACAACCTGTATCTTTAAATTTTTTGGTCTCTTTGAATATAATATATAATATAATATAATATAATATAATATAATATAATATAATATAATATAATATAATATAATATAATATAATATAATATAATATAATATAATATAATATAATATAATATAATATAATATAATATAATATAATATAATATAATATAATATAATATAATATAATATAATATAATATAATATAATATAATATAATATAATATAATATAAAATAATATTATTATTAGAATAGTTTTGCAATGGTAAGATATAACTATAGGTAGGTACTCTACCTTACTCTACTCTATTTTTGAATAAACATAACAGAAGTTGTAAAATTAATATTTTGGCTATTTTATATAATTTATCTAGGTATAATTTCTATTTGGCAATTTTTTTAAATAAGGGGTCGTCCATAAAGTAGGTACATCATACCTTTTTAGAGGATTTCATATCTGCTATGTCTAAATTTTAATACTTTAAAAAGTAATGTAGGTAATTATATATCCACTGTTTTTGTATATTTTTTCTTTGGTTTAATTAATTATAGAAAAAAATATTAAAAATAATATATTGTTATTCATTACTTTTTTACATAAAATTTGGGTAAATATGTTTTACTAGTGCTAAATCAAAATTATTTTTACACCTCATAATATAAAGAAGAGAGTAATCCTAAATCTTATTAATGTAAAACAATATTAGCACATATATTCCCTTTCTAAAGATATGAAAACATGCTCCACGTTATAATTCTAATTTTTGTTATAATTTATTTGGCAGAACTAATATTGCTCCCGCCGAAACGGCTGCAAACCATCCCAAGACACCACTGTGCCCTAGATTGAAATACTCCTCTTCTTCATGCCGTGAGACTTCGTCTCTTCGAAACGGGAACATTGCCTTTCGTCTTGGTGGGTATTAAATTTTCACAGTATCAACTTATCTTGTAAATACCCTTCTACCTAACGTCGCTCGCAAAAAGCGGTTTACGTTAAGTAAACGGATATACATAGGTATTATACAGGCCAACAAAATTTATTTTAGTTTTTTAATACTTTTTTGAAATCATGGGCAATTTTTTCGAGTATAAAATGCATTATTTTCGGAGCACACTGTATATAATCTTTTAAAACAAGTATCTATAAAATTGTCATTAAAAAAACTCATGTGATATTAACAATTTTTGATCTTACTTAAAAATGATGCCACAATTTTGTTGACCCTTGTTACTATTGACCCCTATGTATATTTTGTAGATAAAGTCAAGAAATCCTTAATCCAGGATCCCATTGCAAAAACAATAGCGGGGTTAGTCCATAATCCTTATACAAATGTAAGTTTAAAAAAATCTTAATATAATATGTATATTATTCATATGGTTATTTTGAATTTCACGTTTTAGTTAAAATGGTTAAAGAAGTAATTATGTAATTAAAGATGTAAGAAATACTTTGTATCAAAACATTAACAAAAACTAAATTTTGTGTTTATTTGTCATAATAGATACATATATTTATTTTAATATTGTTAATGTATATAAAAAAATATATATCTAATATATTAAACTACAAATAAGTTTTAATTACCCTGTAAATATAAAATCACATTATTTCGGGCCTGGTACTTCATCGTTATTAATATACAGGGTGTCCCAGGTTTTGTAATATGATTTCACACCCTAGCAATAAAGCTGCTCAAGTTCTGCTATGGTTAATTGGAAATTTAGGTTTTTCTGAAAATTTTTGATTTAACATTTTTTGATAAAAACCATTTTCTGTAAAAAGCCTTTTTGGTCACTTTTTGCTCATTTGTCATTTTTTACTTATGAAGTATAAAAAATGCATAAAACAAGGATGAAAAATGTATTTTTGGCAAAAAATTTAAAAGTAAAAGATTTGAACATGTCAATAGAAACGATTATGTTTGAGAAATGACAAATTAACGAAAACTGACCAAAAAAATTTTAGTCCAATATTTTTAGAAAAATCAAAATTGCAAATTAACCATAGACAATTATGTGTACCATATTCTGTGTGTTTGAAATTAAGCAAAAACTTTTATAAAGAATTCAATTTTAGCCATAACTATTAAATTTTTAACCATAAATAAATATTAAATTTTGTGTAAAAACGTTTGTTTTTTCCAAAGTTATTTAATAAAATCGAAAACGAACTTTCAACTTTGACACCCTGTGTCTTGGTTATTAACAACTTTTGTATATAGGTAAATTTAGTTATATCGCATTATTTTGGTCTCAGGAATATGTGGTATTATTTTGTACACCTTCTAGAACTATACATGTTAAGTGGCAGGACTTTACTAACGTGTTTCTTTTAGATATAAATGGATACAAAATTAAATATCTTTTATATTTTGTAAGATATTAAAGAAATTTGTTTTTAAATGTAACTTTAACACCCTGTATCTTAGAAAGAATCAATGCCAAACATGGAAATAATTCTTAGTTTGTAATTTTAGTTAGGACTATAGGCAATAATTTATTTTTTATATAAAATAAATTATTGTCTTAGCTTTGAGAACACCCTATATGTAGTTAAAAATTAACCAAAATTGTATACCTAAAATATACTTTTTTCAGCGTTTTATAACAGTAACTTTTTAATTGTCACTTTGGTTGCTAAATGATACACTTTCACGCACTATTGCGTATAAGTAAAAACAATAGTGCGTACAAATTACACTTTTAAGCACTGGTGTTTAAAAATAAAAAAATATTTATTTATGGTAAATTAAAAATAAAATTTCTTAAAAAAGGCTGTGCACTTTTAACGCCACGTGCTTAAAAGACTCTCTTGGCTATTACACTACAGTGCACTATTTTTAATTTATTAATTTTCTACATAGTCTTTGTATTTACCAACTATTTTTTGTTAATTTCATAAAACTGATACTTAACCAATCAGAGTAAATTCTTACGCCATTTTTCAACGCTCACTAGATTGTGACATAGAATGTCTTGTTCTGATTGGTTTATTTATTTCTAAACAATCTAGTAGTAAAAGCTAGTACCTACTAAAATACGCTGTAGGAGTCCTAGGCTAGGACCCATTAAAATAATAAAAAATAACTAAATCGAGTTAAAAGATTGCCTAAGCGACTGAAACAAATTATAATTAGGTGACAAAAAATTGGGATTTGTTCTCGTCGGGTGGCCCAAAGTGGTGGCTGTTTTACTAGTAGGTATGACATGCACATGCACTATAGGACTGAAACAAAAATAAAAATTTCATTAAATTAAATTAACTCGCAAAACACAGCATCCTTTTACACCAATTAGTTCACACACTTATACACTTTTAAATGAAGTAGTTTAAATTTTTAACACATGATTTTTACGGTGCAAGTTTTAATTAAAATATTTTAATTTCAATTGCATTTATTTAGAACAAATATTACTGCTGAAAAATTAGATTTTTTGGCTGTGTGTAATTTTAATAAACATGTTAATTGAAGTAGGTAAAATATAAATATTTTAATAATTATTTTAATGTTTTAAGATGAGGAAATTAATCTACTCATTAAAATCATTACGTAAAATTTTTTGAAAAATAGTATATTATAAACCAGGCGGAGAACATATTATAGCCGAGCATACATTTTACTGCCGAGGCGATAGCCTACGCAGTAGTTTGTGTACGAGAGCTTTTGCCGCCGTATTTTATATACTTTTTTTCACGGAGTACGGAGTTTCATTGAATCGGTGAGAATAAGAACAGTAGAAGTCCAAAAATTTCAATTTAAAAGTTAAAAATACATTTTTGTGAGAAGATATAAATCATTTTTATGCACGATGACATTATAATATGACAATTATAACAAAAATTCTTTGACTAAACGTCTTTTTATAGCCCGCGGGCGTTATTATGACCCAGCGGGCTATAATGAAACGTCAAAAATTAAAAACAACAATGTTACACCATTTGATATATTCGAAGTAAGTTTTTTCGTATAAAGATTTTGATTTTTCCGGCAGCAGGCCGCAATTTTTCGCGTTTTCAGCTGCTTCCTCAATTTAATTCATCTTTAAACTTTAAAACTGACTGATGTCAGTTGACATTATAATATGACAATTATAACAAAAAAAAAACTCTTTGACGTAAACGTCTTTAAAAACAATAATTTATTAAAAATAATAACATATTAATCGTGCATAAAGTTTTGTATGCATTGCTGGCATAACTGGTTTTTATGGTCCTACGACGCTTTTCTAGCCCTCGCGCTAACGCGCTCGGGCTCGAAATAGCGCCTCGGACCATAAAAACCTTATTATGCCCTTAATACATAAATAACTATAAAAAATATGAATATTATATTTTATAAAATAGTTAAAACATTCTCACAAAAATGCATTTAGAACCATAAAAATGATTTTTGAAATATTTTGTGAAAATTTTAACTTTTGGACTTGTACTGTTCTTATTCTTACCGATTCAATTATAATTTGAAAATACGCTTGAAAAAAAAATTCATTTATTTATTAACAATGTGCGTTTGATTGAAAAATTGATGAAAATTTCAGAGAATTACGAGACATGAATTCGATTCGTCGTTGTTGCAAATTTATATAATTTTTTTAAAGAAATAAATGCTCATTTTGCCCTATACAAAATTTGAATTTTTTTAAGTTCTGGAAAGTCTGATTTCTGAAGATGAATAAACCGTTTTAACTGTTTTGTGCTAGCCCCTCTGGTTAATGATAAATAATATCAAGCACAAAAGTGGCCAAAATTCATTAAAAAAATAATTAAGATATTATGAAATTTTAACACCATATTTTTTGTGGTATTAATCTTGATCTCGTACAATTTTAATTCAATTGGCTCAGTAGTGGCAATATTATACGACATTAGATTAAAATTTTGTTAAAGTAAATAAAAAATTAAATTATTAAACTATTTAAAATATAAAATTTTAATACAAGTTTTATAAATTAATAATCTTGATTCTGTACAAATTTTAATTTATTTGGATTTATTTAAATCTAAAAATTACTATATTTTATAAACTATTCAATGTGTCTATATACAATTTAAAACACATGTTTTGTGTGTTAATAACCTTTATTCTATAAAAATTTTAATTTAATTGAATCAGTAGCAGCAAAAATTTTACTGGTTTAACCTATAGGTGTCACACAAACAACATGTAGGTAATTAATTACCTACCCTATACCTATATACCCTGGGATCTTGGTTATTTAGAATCAAAAATACTTATGCATATTTCAAAATGATTTTTTTTTTATTAACAATTAAAATTATTAAATTCCGTGAGTAGAACAGAGCAAAATCGACATTTTTTAAAAATAAACAAATGAATTTGTCTTAAAATGTTAAACGTGACTTGATATTAATTAATTTCCCTTTCAACGTCAAAAATCGTGGTCTCATTTGGAAAATTTCTTTTCATGTTATGATTTAAAGTTTTTGTTTTTTGACTATTTCTTTTTTGATTTATTTCTAAAAACAAGTGTTTCTGAATACATGCGTAATATTTCAGCATATAGACATTTTGAATTAGATTAATTAGTTTTTAATAAATAATTAACTCAAAAACAAAATAACCTATTATAATGCATAATATGCAGTCAAAATCGTGATTCATAATCTATTTTTTTAAGCCATTCTAATATATCCTTTTTCTATGATTAAAAGCATAAAAAGTATATGTTAAAAACTACATTTGTAAATTAGTGCTTACCAAATTTTTCTTTTTAAAGCTAAGCTGGTGCATGTGTGTATATACAAAATGAATAATATTTAAGTATTAGTCAATCAATGGAGATAGGGTTAGTATTTTTATAACATTCCATTGGAATGATTCCAATAACATGTTTCCTTATCTTTATGAAATGAATAAATAAACCTTGACACTTAAAATCTAAATTTTGAAAAACAATTGGACATAAAAACGAATTTATTCAGCCATTTACATTTTCATAGAAAATATTACAGTAGTGTAAAAATACTTCACAAAAATAAAAACAGTTTAAAAATTAAATGAACATTGAAAAAAAGCGCGCGTTTTATTATTAAAGAGGAACAACATTGATTTAATGCCAGGGCACATCGCGCGGTTGCGAAATTGATCCCAATTTAAAATACCTTGCAGTTTGAGATAAGGGCGGCATTTGCAAACCGCTCGGAATTGCTTGGGCTGTTTTTTGTGGCTCGCTGGTCACATGAGAGCCGTCGCCTTTTAGCACGGCCACTGGTTTCCAAGATTTTATGTAATTCACTGAAAAAATATCCGGTTAATGTTGAATGTTTATTTTGCCTTTCAAGCACTGTACAGTTTTTGCGCAATCGCGTTTTATTTTACTGAAAAACTTTTTTCACAAATATAAATGAACAACTAAAGTTGCGTACACACACAGCGAACGTATGCGATGGTACGCTAAGGTAGAACATGAGATTACTTTAATATTGTGGAATCATTAAGAAATTTTACCTTTAAAACTGATTCTGGTTAAACGAGGAAAAATTTTGTAAACCATCGTAATTATTAGAAAATAAAAAAACAAAAACCATTTTTTTCTTACTTTTGAACATTCTGACACATCCATCGTCACCACTAGTTGCCAAAATGGTTCCAGTGATGTTCCAACAAACCCTCCATACAGTACTGTTGTGGTCTTCAAATTGTGCTACACTTTCAACTTCTAATTTTGTCAGGCCACTTTGTATGCTTTGCACATCTCTAAAAATGAAAACGTTATTAATACTTTTTTTAAATGATCAAACAAATATCAATCTTTATTATTGTTGTTTATGTATTTAAATTTTCCATGATTTTTGTTTCTTGTGTGGAAGAAGAAACAAAAACCATGGAAAAGATTGTTTTTATTTCTTTTATATTTTTAGTTGTATCCGGCTTTTTATAAACCTATTTTCTTATTTTAAATGTGAAATGATTTATATTATTCTTTTGACATTTGCTTTTGAAAATGACATTTGCAAATAACATTTTGGAAATAAATGTAATATCAAAATTACAATACCTATGAAATAAGCAATGGTTGAACAATTGTTAAAAAAATGGAAAAGTTATTAATACCTACATTTTAAAAGAATAAAACAAATATCATTGTTTTTCAATTTAATTTTCCATGTTTGTTTTTATTGCTAACCAAAACTTTATTTTTTGTGTTTTTTTTTTCATGAAAATTTTTAGGTTTATTTGTTTGTCTTTTTATAAACATTTTTTTAAAATTAAAGCTATTTTTTTATTTTAAATGTGAAATGATTTATATTCTTTCAACATGATGTTTGCTTTTAAAAATGAATTTAAGGCAATATTTTGAAAATAAATGTAAAATCAAAATTACAGTATTAAATTAACAAGGTTTGATTTTTATTTAAAATATCATAGATATATAATATAGATTTTTTTCATCACTTTATGACGAAATTTAAGCATTTATGAATTTAAATGTTATAAAATAAAAATTTGTCAAATTATTCACAGATAAAAACTAAATTCTCTAAATTGAATAAAACAGTAAAGTATGTAAAATAATGGTTTAAAATTATTTATTGTAAGTAAAAAAAAATAGTATGTTTAGTTAGTTCTGTTCAGGGATTAAAAATATCATATTTAAATAATTATCATATCAGGTAATACACAAGGTGTTCCTACCTGAAATAATAAAAAAAATACTTTTTTATCTTAATTACCTGACAAAGGAATGCGTTTGTAAGTGTCGCTGGAAGTAACCGATTTTGAGATATTTGCATTTAAATTGTTTAGTGCACCCATTTAATTGTGATTTAAAAATATATTTTTTTTAAGTAGGTTACAATTAAAAAAATTCAAAGACGCTACACATTTAGTTTTAAAAATTTTCAAATTTCAAATTTAGTATTTCAAACTTTCAAATTTCAAATTTAGTTTATCAAAAACTTATGTTTTTTTTATTTATTGTAAGTACAAATTAATCACAATTAAAGGGTACATTAAACACTTTAAACCCACAAATTTTTAAAACGGTTACTCGGAGCGAAATTTATAAGGTGTTACGTACACCTTTTTTAAGTAATAAGGATGAGAACAGTAATATTTTTATTAAAACGCTAATACATCAAGGGTCAAAAAAGATGGGATCATTTAAACATATACAAAGTGTCGCAGACAGCGCCCTCTATAACCTACATTAAATGTTTTAAGAAATTTAATTTTCCCGTTCTGAAAAACCGCATTATTTTGGTCTCAGGAATATTTGATATTATTTTGTAGGCATTTTGAGGCATATTTAGACAATAATGCTATTGTAGGTATACATAAGCAATTTTAAAAAGTTTATGCCAAATATTTTTAATAAATAAATAAAACTATTTTTCTAAATTAAGACAATCATAATTAATAAATGTTTCTTTAAAAAAAACAATAATTGTTATTAAATTATTTAAATTTACTATCTAGATCAATCTAGAGCACACTGAATTATACATAAAGTAATCATTGTAAAAACCTGATTAATGCCAATTTTCAATAAAAATTAAATGTTTAAAAATCATTTAAATATCACGATATATAATATATCAAAATATATGATATATATTATGATCAAAATATATATGTGTCTTTGGTTTTGATTTAAATCGTTTAAAAAAAAAATCATTTGATTTGAATCATGATTTTAATTTTGATTTAAATCAGCCAAACCCTGAAATTAATAACACTAGTTTACAAAATCGAAAAAAAATTCTGCCCACCATGTCCCATTATAATTTTTCCATGTATTTTGACCCACTAAACACAAAAAAAAAATTTGAAATATGAATTTTCAATTGTTTTTTTTTAACTTTTGGAGGTGTTTTGACGTTTTTGAGTATAGCTTGAAATCTAATTGATCGATATGGTCAAAAATTGAAGGTATTTGAGCCCTCTAAAACTTTATTTTACATACTTTTGATATAGGATAAGTATTTTGACGCTAGCGATTTTAATAACTTAAAAAATTCGGTTTTATGGAAAAAATTGAGGTCGAAAATTTACATATCGTCCTGGGAAAGGTTTAAATCAAACAGATAACTCCAGTTTGGATTTTTTTTCGTGAAGCTGACATTTTTACAAAAAAACAAGCTAATGTTGGCAAAGTTCTGAATTTTTTCTTTTATATTGTAATGTTTATTTTTTAATGAAAACCTAATTAAAGTGCATGATTGGATTAAGTTTTTTACGTACTTTTTTCACCGAAAACATATGAAGGGGTTAGAATAAAAAGGGTATAAGTAACATTTTCATTTTTTGGAGATATTCGAAGTTAAAGTTATGTTACCATAAAAAAGTGAAGAATTTTGTTTAGTAATGTTTTTCTACTGGATAATAGAGGTCCCTAGAAGTATGAAAATTACTTAAATCCTTTTCATTTCGATACGTCGGAACCTTATCTTTCACAAAACGAACTTATCTCCTAAATTAAAGAAATTGCACTTATACCCTTTCTATTCTAACCCCTTCATATAAAATTTAAATTTGACATGAGTTAGCAAACGTAAATTCTTTTGTTTCTCGTGTTGGCATAGTGACATTTTACTGCTATTTTTTGATATTTTAACAGAGTATTTTTATCATGGATTTATTTAGTTAATAAAAGTGTAAAATAAGTAAAAGAAGTAAAGAGTTCGAGTGCGTAAATAACCCGGACAATCTGGGCGACGTAAGTGATGAGCACGGAGAATGTTTTCACCAGCAAATGAAGGCTATGGAGCGGCGGTATCACGGCTTCTGGGATGCAGCCATGATGGGTGATTACATTTGGTTCCTCATAAGAGAAACGAACACGAGAATACGAAAGCAACAAAAAACAAAAACGGAGCCAGATTTTTTTTAAACCTATGTTTATTACAACAAAATAAAACTTTCGATATCTTCAATGTTCAATATTTATTGTTTAATATTCAATTTAATTTAATTTAATTTTAATATTTAATGATTAAAATAAAAATCAATGTTCAATATAAAACTTTATATACCTAACTCAATAAAATGAAAAAAACGAAAAAATTCTCGAAAAAACTGAATTTTGGTCTTTCACTGAAAAATTCATAACTTTGCGATTTATCCATAGGTTTTAATCAACAGCAGCTTATTTTTTTCCTTATATATCCTACGTAAAATAAATGAAACTGAACTTATCTTTTCAATTTCTATCTTTCCCAGAAAGATATGTAAATTTTTGACCTAGATTTTGGTAAAAAAAAAGGAATTTTAAAACTTCATAAAATCGCCAGTATCGAACTACTGAGCCGATACCAAAACTATACAAGAGAAAGTTGTAGATGGCTTAATTACCTTTGATTTAAGTGCTTGTTTGGTCAAATCGATCAATTAGAACTCTAAGTATACTCTAAAACGTCAAAACACCTCAGAAAATTAAAAAAAAACAATTGAAAATTCATATCTTGAAGATGCTTCCATGAAAAAAATTTGTGTGATTTTCGCGTTTATAAACGTTTATAACTATAGTGAGCCAAACTACACAAGAAAATAATAGTGAGACATGGTGGGCAAAATGGCTGTAAACTACTGTAATTAAATAACACAAAATTAGTAGTACACTTTTAGATATTCAAAATTTATATAACAATAAAAACTTACTCCACAGGTGTTAAATGCAAAATCCTGACATCTTTAGTAGCAACTGCCAGTAAATGAAAACTCCTTCCCAAATTTGGTGCAAAGGAAATATCATTTACTGGTTCTGTAATGGAACTTATGGTTTCCAATTTAGTCCATCTTCTTGTATTTTCACTGTATTCATAGATAAAAACTTTACCGCCATTTGCAGGATTGGCATCATCACTTCCCACAGCCAGCATTTGAGGTTGCATTCTAAATAAAAAAATTATAATTATTGTTGATTTTTAATGTATAAAATTTACTTTGATAAACTTGGATTCCAACTCAAACAACTACAAGCCAATTTGCACTGAACTTCGTGTTGTAACGTCCATTGGCTTAAATTCATTACATCAGGGGCTTCATATATTCTAATTATGCCCTCTGCTGAACATGTGGCCAATTGTAAACCTTGTATTTTTGGGCCAAACTTAATATCTGTAACTGAAGTCCTAGAATCCACCAGATTTGTTCTTCTAACCCAGTGTCTTGTCCCTCTTTCACCAGGACCTGGGGTATCCCCAACTAAAAGACAAAACATTATTTTATATTATTTTTACATATAAAATACTAACCAATTTCCTCCCAAACAGCGGCTGTTCTATCAAACGAACAAGTGGCTAAAACCTGACCGAATTCAGGGTGAGCCCATGTTACTTTCCACACAGACCCACTATGAGCCTTAAAGCTCGAGGTTTCAGTCCATTTTCCGTCTTTATTATGGTCCCAAACCTAAAAACAACAAATTTGAAAAATATTTTTAGGTTATATTGGTAAACATCATTTAAAAACTTACCTTTACGTATTGATCGCTCGAACAAGTCGCCATTCGGTCCCCATAATAATCATACGCCACATCGTGAATCAAATCTTTGTGTTCTGCGTTAATTTCCTGTGCTTCAAACATTTTTTAAAGGGTTAAGAATTTTATAAAAAATGGTCACAGGAACAACACGCTATAATTTACAAAATTTAAACCGTTGTTTTTTAAATAAATAATTGCAAATAGTTTTATTATTATATATCAATAATAATATAAACAATACAATGTTTAAAATTAAAATTTATATTATTAATTTTTATTTAAATTTCGGGAATTATGTAAAATGATCAGCCGGCAAACTTAACCTTACTTCCATGACAGCTGTCACTGCTTGTCATATGACACAAATCAAGTATCTTTCAAGCTCTTCAGATGATAATAATTTTATCTGTGCTGTGATAATCATAGTTAGTACCTTTTTGGGCGTATATATTGTTGGAATTTCTAGTGCTGTAAAAAAATGTCCAAACAAGCCCTAAGCCCAATGGATCCCAGTTCTTTTTCAAGACCAGGTAAATATTACTGTAAATTTGGTTGTATTTTGGTTAATTTAATGTTTCTTAGAACTGGTGAGAATTACTAATATTGAACTGAATTTAAGTGTAAATTTCGATAAGAAGAAGTTGTCTGGAAATGTACATTTATCTGTGAAAAAAGTTGATGAAAGTGTTAATGAAATTGTAAGTATTTATTCTTTGATAATAAAAAATAAATAATTTAATTAATCTAAATTACCTGTTCAGATCCTAGATACACTGAAACTAAGTATACAATCAGTTTATGAATTGGAAACCAAAAAAGACCTTAAATACACCCTTTTTGAACTAATAGAGGAATATGGTTCTAAATTGGTAATTGAACTTCCCGATAAGGACAAAAAAGAGTAAGTCAATTTTTTTGTTTTGTGGACTAAAAATAACAACATTTTACCATTTTTTAATTGGCTGTATAATTTTTTTCAATGGATTATATACATTATAATGTGACCAATTAAAAAATAGTACTAAGCTTATTTTTTGTTACTTAAATGGGGTTGGTACCTATATATAAATATTTTTTAGATGTGTAATTGCCATAGAATATGAAACTAGCCCAGATGCATCTGGTTTGCAATGGTTGGAACCAAATGCAACTGCTGGAAAAAAACATCCATATTTATTCAGCCAATTTCAGGTAGATATTTAACTTAATCTTTTTATTTTTTAAAAAGAATAATTCAATGACCTCATTTGTAGTTATTTAAATATTAATTAATTTTTTTTTTTTAGCCTACCCATGCAAGATCTGTTCTACCATGCCAAGACACACCAGCTGTTAAAATTAAATACTCAGCTACAGTAAGTTTTTATTAAATGCATTTTCAATTTAAATTGAATTAATTGATAATCCATATTATTTTAATCTGTAAATCATATACCATATCTTACTAAAATTATTTTTTAACTTTGATAGTGGATACAGTTTAAATTGTTACAAGCACTTAAGTAGGTACTTTAGTGTTTAATTTGTATGCTTATTATAGGTTGTACATATAGTTTTTTAACAATGAAATGCGTTTTAAAACAAAATATTTGTAAATAGTTATGACTCAATGTTTATACAAACAAATAACAAGTTTACACAGCTTACAAGAATTTTAAAAATAAGTTTTAAACCATAATAATAATAGTCAAAGGCCAACACAATTATAACATGGAAAATTCCGCGTTTCTACTAATAAAATTAGTTTACAAAATCATAAAAAAATGATCTTTACTTGAGTCGTCTAATTTCTGAAGAATATTTTAAGTAAAGCAAAAAAACATTCTAAACAGGTTAGAAAATAAGTATATTTTAAAAAAACTTGTTCACATGGTACATACTACCTAACTGAAAATATTTTTTCTTCAAAATAAGTTACCATATTTAAGTTTTCATTAAAAAAACATAAATTTCAAATGCAGATGGACATTTTAAGTATATTTTTGTACTTAAAACTAGAGATGGGAATCGGAAAGTTTCCATTTTAAGGAAACTTTCCGTTTTGGAAAGTTTCCAATTGGGAATTTATTTTCATTTTGAAAGTTTCTTTTAAGCTACCGGAAACATTCCTTGGAAACATTCCTTGGAAACTTTCCTTGTTTTTTTCATTTAAATGTCAATTGTTTAACCGCTGATTTTCGTTAAGGCCATGATACAAGGCCAAGAAACTTTGAATAAGAAATTAATGTGTGTTAATTTAAGGCAGAAGAAGAAGTATAAATAATGTAAGTTATGTTACATAACCTTAATGAAGCCGGATTATTCAGCATCATCACAAAAAACCCTGGCATAAAAAAAATATTTTCACAATAAAAAATTTTTTTTCGAAACTTTCGGAAAATTTCGGGAATTTTCGATGGAAAGTTTCCGGGAATTTTCGTCAAATGGGAATTCATCAATGGAGGTGGCCGGTATTGAAACTAACATAAAACTTTAATGAATTATTTTCCTTGGAAAGAGCCGTTTTTGTTGGAATATAATTTTGCACTAATATACTACGTAATATTTCGATTTTATTTGTGTAAATAATTCATTTAAAAAAAAAAATTGGAGATGGCCGCTTTTGAAACTAGACTCAATTAGTCTATAATGTAAACTTCATAATTGTCAACATTCATTTAATACTAAAGTGATTGATTATGGCACTTTGTGCTTTGCTTAATTGTAGGCCCCCACTACGCGTCTGCCTTTAAACTTTGAGCTCAGAACAAAAAGACTTACTTCTTGGCCTAATGGCATAAATAAATTATAGACATTTTATTGAACAAAGCTTATTTTAATATAACTACCCTATAACAAAATAGTTTCTTTTTCATCATGGGATTCTATTTTTTTATGGTATTATACACGCCATACTCAGGCCCGTTTCTGGGTGTCTGGCGCCCACGTGCAGCATTCGCTGGTGCGCCCCTTTTATATTTAAATATAATACATTAAATATTTTAATTTTAAGCCCTTAAATTTAAAAAATATATATTTTGCGACAAACTATATGTAATTGAAAATTTAAAAAAACCGCTTAAATTAAGTATAAAAAATATTTATTAAATTACCAAACAAACAAAATCAAAGAAAAATATTCAGTGATAAAAATACTCTAAAGAAAACAAAAAAAAACAATCTAAACAATATAATAACTACAACTGGTTTTTAGTGACGTACTCTCTAAAAATAAATTAGTCAAAAATAATAATATAATAATAACTTTAGTCCACAGCAATTTGTATCCCGGACATTTAACAGTTTATTATTATGTATAATTATGAAAGTAAGTAGAGTAGCTATGGGGCTTCTGGCTCACTACTTCACATTTCGGCCGCATGGTGGCGCCACATGCTGGGCTGTGCACTCGTTGGCGTTACACGATGGGCGGGAAATTCAAAATGGCCACCGGCCGCCAACCAATTGCAGAAATAATGATGGGCGGGGCTTGTTGAATTCAAAATGGCCGCCAACCAATTGTAAAAGTAATACTGGGAAATGCAAAATTATGACTCGTGGTGGCGCCACTTGCCCGGTTGATTCTCAAGTCTAGTTTTTGCACAATATTTCGAAATTTTAATTTATTCTGGCGCCACACTGGCGTTGTTTTTCTCACACGCTGAGACGCACTTCCCTAGAGGCCCCATTGGGCGGCCGCAACCTTGCACGAATTTTTTCCGCATGTGACGCCACCTGGTGGAACTATACGTATACTACAGGAGCGTACAAATTAAGCTCGTAATATATGAATGAAAACAACACTGTTTTAAAGTTTCACTAATTTATTTATGTTTTTAATAATTAACAATTGTTTCGCTACACTGTAGCTTCTTCAGAATTAGTACTTATTTTAACAAGTGGCGGTATTTATATTAACAACAGGCAGGTAATTTGAGAAGATAAATGTTATATAAACATTATACCTGAAGGTAAAATTTATATAATTACATAATTTTGGAAAAACTGAGGGTTTGGGAAATCCTATCTAATATAATATTATAATATTAATAAATATTACTTTTTAGTACTACAAGTACACACTCTAAAATAAATTTAGCAAAGGAGAGCTGTTAGTTTCAATTTGGTCATTAAGAACAATATCAGATTTTTTCTTTAATTTATTAATTTCCAAAGACTCTAAAAGATTTAGTTTGGTACCTTTATTGGCTACATGTAATATTTTAAAGTTATCATCAAATGTGTGGTTCTCTTGTATTAAATGGTTAGCGTATGAAGAATCCTGTTTAAGGTTTATATAGGATAACTTGTGTTCTTTAATTCGTGTATTAAAATTTCTACCCGTTTGGCCTATATATGTTTTCGGACAGTCTCTGCAATTTAGTTGGTAAACGCCAGATTTTGAAGATTTTGATGTTTTATCTTTGTTGTTTTTGATAAACTTACTAAGATTGTTGTTGGTTTTAAATGCTAAATTACTATTAATTTTATTAAAGAAATTAGATACATGTCTCATCTTAGCACCTAGATATGTACAACTATTGTATGTATTCATGGTAATCTTAGATATTGGAAAAACGTTGTTAATGGCTATTTTCTCTTTTTTGTGGTTTAAGATTTTATTAATTAGTTGAGCATCATAGCCGTTGTTAACTGCTATTTGTTTAATTAAGTTTAATTCGTAATTATAATCTTTTTCTGATAATGGAAGAAATTGAATTTTATAAATAACTTACACCCGAAAATTAAATTCACAATGGAAGAAGAAATAAATAACTCTATTAATTATTTAGATCTAACAATTCAAAAAAATAATAGACACCACACATTCAAAATTTTTCACAAACCCAGCTACACTGATATAGTTATACATAAAAGCTCTTCTCACCCCTTTTCACACAAAATAGCCGCATTTAACTCTATGGTCCACAGACTCTTAAACGTTCCATTATCAGAAAAAGATTATAATTACGAATTAAACTTAATTAAACAAATAGCAGTTAACAACGGCTATGATGCTCAACTAATTAATAAAATCTTAAACCACAAAAAAGAGAAAATAGCCATTAACAACGTTTTTCCAATATCTAAGATTACCATGAATACATACAATAGTTGTACATATCTAGGTGCTAAGATGAGACATGTATCTAATTTCTTTAATAAAATTAATAGTAATTTAGCATTTAAAACCAACAACAATCTTAGTAAGTTTATCAAAAACAACAAAGATAAAACATCAAAATCTTCAAAATCTGGCGTTTACCAACTAAATTGCAGAGACTGTCCGAAAACATATATAGGCCAAACGGGTAGAAATTTTAATACACGAATTAAAGAACACAAGTTATCCTATATAAACCTTAAACAGGATTCTTCATACGCTAACCATTTAATACAAGAGAACCACACATTTGATGATAACTTTAAAATATTACATGTAGCCAATAAAGGTACCAAACTAAATCTTTTAGAGTCTTTGGAAATTAATAAATTAAAGAAAAAATCTGATATTGTTCTTAATGACCAAATTGAAACTAACAGCTCTCCTTTGCTAAATTTATTTTAGAGTGTGTACTTGTAGTACTAAAAAGTAATATTTATTAATATTATAATATTATATTAGATAGGATTTCCCAAACCCTCAGTTTTTCCAAAATTATGTAATTATATAAATTTTACCTTCAGGTATAATGTTTATATAACATTTATCTTCTCAAATTACCTGCCTGTTGTTAATATAAATACCGCCACTTGTTAAAATAAGTACTAATTCTGAAGAAGCTACAGTGTAGCGAAACAATTGTTAATTATTAAAAACATAAATAAATTAGTGAAACTTTAAAACAGTGTTGTTTTCATTCATATATTAATAATATGGAGTTTCATCAAGTAAAGGTCGAAACAATCAACAAATTAAGCTCGTACCAAATATTACGGGGGCGCACAAAATTAACCTAAAAATTGTAACAGAGGTGAGATGTAATTGCGGGGTTCGGAAACGTTCGGAATTGATAAAAAATGACAGGTATCCAAGACCTTGAAGTGACCTTGAAAATGACGGGTGTCAAAAATGACATTTGTCTAAAAATGGCAGGTGTCAAAAATGACAGCTGTCAAAATGACAGGTGTCAAAATGACAGGTGTCAAAATGACAGGTGTCAAAATGGCAGGTGTCAAAAATGACAGGTGTCAAAAATGACAGGTGAGCCATTCCACGCGTAACGGATAGGACAGTTGCCGTGTTTTTATTTACAAAATAATATTTTTCTATTATATTACTAATGTCAAATTTTTATAAATAGTTCTAAACTAAAGCTGTTTAACAAGGTTTTTTTTGGCAAAATTAGGTATCGTGGTTGACTGTTTAATTCCTTAAAAACTAATAATTTAAAGCGTAACGGACGGGACTTCGTAATGGTCCCGTCCGTTACGCTTTAAATTATTAATTTTTAAGGAATTAAACAGTCAATCACGATACCTAATTTTGCCAAATAAAAACCTTGTTAAATAGCTTTTGTTTAGAACTATTTATAAAAATTTGACATTGGTAATATAATAGAACAATATTATTTTGTAAATAAAAACACGGCAACTGTCCTATCCGTTAAGCGTGGAATGGCCCAGGTGTCAAAAATGACAGGTATTAAAAATTCCTTCTTTGAATTCCCCTTAATTAAAATGCAAAATATGTTTTGTATAACTTAAAAATACCTGTTTTAAAATTATCATATTACGTGACTTATATCTGTGGGTAAAAGGCATAAGGGGATAAGTCAAAAAAAGCAATTTTTCGGTAGAGACTTAAACGTGTTCGCATTAATTCAGGAAATATATTTATGGTTAGCGAGCATACCCTTTTGCTAGCATATAACATGTGCTGGCAAAATGATATACCCGTTAACCATAAATGTATTTCCTACATTAATGCGAACACGTTTAAGGCACTACTAAAAAATTGATTGTTTTGACTTATCCCCTTATGCCTTTTACCCACAGATATAATATATTAAGTCGTTTAAATGCAAAAAACAATGACAGGGGCCAATAATCACATGACGCCCCCGCCACCCCTGTGCTCGTTGTCACCGCCCCCATGCCGCCGATCTTTAAATTCTTATTAATTAATATGCAAAACATGCTTTGTTATAAGTTAAAATTACCTGTATTAAAATTAGCATTTTACATAATTTTTTAAGTCGTTTAGATGCAAAATTGCGATAATTACATTTACTTATTCAAACGTAATTCTCGGGTTTTTCCAGCCCACGTTTGTTTTTTATTATTGTTAGTAGTGGCATTTATTATTTCATTCTATTATTTATCGTTGAGTGAATACCATCAATAATAAAATATAAAATCCGTAAATTGAAGTAAGTAAATAATATAAGGTTTTTGATTTTAAATAATACAGCATTTTGTTTTTAGGAATGATTCTCAGGCTAAATAAATGCCTAAAATTGTGTAAACCATAAGAGCAGGTTGAGAAATTTTGAAATCTGTTAATTGAAGTGAGTAAGGAATAAAAGGTTTTTTATTTTAAATTAATATGGTATTTTGTTTTTAGGAATAGATCGCAGGACAAATTAATGTATAAAATTGTGCGAACCTTTCGAAATTTTGAAAAAAAAGTGTAGTGTAGATGAGAGAACCCTTTGGTTGGGGCGGCTAGGGCTGGGGCTTCAACCACCAATTGGAATAAGGTTGGGATGCAGACCTTTCCGGAGCCGAATCAACAAAAAGAAGAAGAGTGGGAGCTCCCGGAGGGTCCATCCAGGAGCTATTTGGATCAACTCCCACCTTTAAAAATAAAGCCTAGGAAGAGAAAAAATAAAATGTTATGTTGATTAAAAAATTATAATTTTCCAATTTTGTATTTACCCTTATATTAAACATTAAAATTATGGTTAAAACTCAAAGGTAACTTTAAAAAGTATAATATAAATACAAATAGTAATTATCAAGCCTCCAAAAATATTAATTGTAAGAAAAATGGAGCTAGCCCAAATAGACTTGTCTGAACAAGTCGGATGACGTCATAAATATTAAATTCATATATCCAATTTTAGTGCTTTCAATAAGAATGAATTTGAATAATTGCACAATCCCTTCCCTTTATATTCGAATTTGTACGCTCCTGTAGTATACGCCCAATGGGGCGTCTCAGCGTGTGAGAAAAACAACGCCAGTGTGGCGCCAGAATAAATTAAAATTTCGAAATATTGTGCAATTACTAGACTTGAGAATCAACCGGGCAAGTGGCGCCACCACGAGTCATAATTTTGCATTTCCCGCCCATCGTGTGACGCCAACGAGTGCACAGCCCAGCATGTGGCGCCACCATGCGGCCGAAATGTGAAGTAGTGAGCCAGAAGCCCCATAGCTACTCTACTAACACAGCAAACGAAAAATTATAGAAGTGTATAGGATGACTCCGCGTTTGAATATCAAATCTTAAAGTTTTATCATAACTGTATTGAATCGTGCTTTGTTTTTATATTTTTCGGCTCTATACCTATGCACGACTATATTTAAAGTCAAACATAATGGTGTCTTACAAGATACATTATTTTGATTTTTTATATTCAAAAAGAGGTAGAAACTCGACCCTGTCGAATGGTGCAGTCAGTTATGTCTCTAGAAATTATTAAAAAAGGGTTCAGTCCAATGGTGCAGCAACTTCGGATTCCTATTCTCCTCAGCGACATAGAAACTCAAGCTTTTCGAATTTTACTGGCAATGATTTTCGTTAATGTCCCAGAGAATTATACAAAGACAGCGCAATGCAATATCGCAACGGTTTCGACTTCTCTTTACTCTACCAAGTTATAGAAACTGGAGTCTCTCTAATACTGTTCTAGTCAATATTTCTGAGAGTATAAAAAGAGGGTGTAATATTGCAAGAAGTTTTGATCTTTTGATGGATGCAAGTAGTTTGAATTTTCTCCTTTCTGCATATGATTTTGTTGAAAATAGTTCCTTTCTTTGGTTCCTTTGTCTGATTTTTATTTACCGTAACAACTCAGGTATGTACAGCACAGATGATATGATGTTAAGTATATTTATGTATTATATAAAGTACCTATGTATATTTGTATTAAAAATTTCAGAGGTTATGTTTAAAAAATGATCGATATGCTATTAAACTTTAATAATTTAGTAATTAGGTCTGTTGGTAGACCCTGCACTATCTCCACTGGTATATGTTAGTTTTGTAATATTTAAATCTGGTTGATGAAAAAGTACACACCAGTGCAGGTTATTGTAGCATCTACAAACAAATGAATTAATGGCCCATTGGCAATTATTCCTTTAGGAAAAATATTCAACACAGCTTAATTAATTAATAAAATGAAAAAAATCACAATCATGTCGTATATAGTTTTTTTTAAGCATAAAATAATTTTTATATTAATACTAGTTCAAAAGTGAAATTACGACCTCTATACTGTGGAGAGTATTGAAACGCTCGACTGACGAATACAACTCTATACCGTAGGGAGATTTAGAAAACGATATTCAAACGTGGCGTGATCCTATACACCTCTATAATTTTCCGTTTGCTGTGAAAGTAGGGCAGTTTTTGGGATATGGATAATTTAAGTCGTTTTTTCGCGTAAATACTATGAAATACTACGGTTAAATAAGTCATGACGTCACAGTTAATTCATATAACCATGGTTAGGTTTCTAACATTTGACATTTGTTTACTTTTTCATAACCTATAATTTTTAAAATGTGTTTTTACCTATTTATATTTAATTTCTATGCTTTTACAGGTGTAAATAAATTTCTTTGCCTCTTCTTTTACCTTGTATATTCTTTTTCTATGAACCCTAGTTCTTATACCTACCTTTTCTATACCTCTTTTTATATATAAACAGTTCTTCACTGTTGTTAACCATAATTAAAATCCAACAGTGTTTAACGTTTATACGAAAATTATTATTGTGAAACTCAAAATTTAGAATGGAACCCCAAAGAAAAAGACGAAGGTTGGCGGTATGTTTTGGAGAAGATATGTTTAGCACACAACATTATTCCTACATAAACATATTAAATATATATATTAAAAAGAGAAAGACTATTAACCACGTTGAATAACTAGCTCAGCGATATAGTTTTATGGTCTGGTATTTGTGACGTCATAGTTAGGATTTTTGAACGCACTCTAAACGCAAAAATGCCTTAACTATTAACCAAGGTTAAGTTTAATGACCATAGTATTTCATGGTATTTACGCGAAAAAACGACTTTAGTAAATCTCATATCAAGTTTATAACTTTTGACGACATTTTCGGATTCAGCAGACAATTTTACATACTGAATTGGGTAGTATACAAACTATCCAGCTATTTTAGTTTCCCTAATAATTTCAAGTAAATTAGCCAAGATCCTTGGTTATTTTGTAAACTAGCCGCTAATTTAGTTGAAAATGTTTTCAATTAAAATAGCTGACAGTTTGGCTAGTTTATAAACTATCCAGCTAGTTTATAAACTATCCAGCTAGTTTATAAACTATCCAAGTTTGCACATTAGCCGTAACATATACATAATTTATGGCTTGCAAAATAAAAACAAAAATAGAATGAAAATGTAGATACATATTGTATGCATAACATAATTACATGCAAAATTTATTTGTTTCAAAATTCCCAGGAAAATAATTGTTTTATACAAAATATTGGAAATATAACAAAAGTTAAAATTTAATAAAATTTTCTATTATAAGAGATGCAACAATATTAATATAATTACCACCCATTATAATAGATGTTAACAAGCCTATTAAAATTTAAAAAAACTATATATTATATTATAAATTGTACAATTTATAATACACTTTATATTTTTAAATAATACAGTATAATAAAACAACAAAACCTAATAATTACAACAAAAAGTAGCATTTGACTTAAAATATACTTTTTTTAGATTTCCGCACCCCCAGAGTACACCGTCCTCATGTCGGCCATCCGAAACGGCACCAAGGAACTTCAAAGCGGCAGAATATCGCACTTCGTGCAAGACGTGCCTCTGCCCTCGTACTTGATAGCCATAGCCGTGGGCGTGCTTGAATCCAGACGGCTGGGACCGCGTTGCCACGTGTGGGCCGAGAAGGAGTTGATCGAAGAGAGCGCGCACGAATTCGCCAACACCGAGCACCAACTCGAAACGGCTGAAAAAATATGCGGGCCTTACGTGTGGGGCATCTACGATTTGTTGGTGCTGCCGCCCAGTTTTCCCTGGGGTGGAATGGAGAACCCATGCTTGACGTTTGTCACGCCGACACTTTTGGTGATTATTTAATAAATTACAGAGTGGGGAACATATTATTGAAATTTTTGCTCTATCTTCTAGCTCTTTAGTCTGAGGGTTTCCAGTAGACTGGGCTAAAAAAATCAACTATTTTTTTTTTAAAGTATATCGAAAATATGGTTTGGGGTGACAAAAAAAAATTATTGTGAAAGTTTGAGTCCATAATATTTTTATTAAGAGGTCTATCATCGCAATTTTAATTTTTTTCTTCCTCAGCAAGTTTTAGGCTCAGAACTCCCAAACCATTGAGTTTAACAAAATTGACTTGAAAATATTTTTTTAAGAAAATTAAATTGTCTACAAAAAAGGTTAAAGTGAAATTTTCCGTCAGATGAACCGTTTCCTTAAAATCATGCCTTAAAAAATAGTATAGTTTTACATTTTGATCTTTTAAATTGGAATTTTGTAATTAGTTAGTTAGTACCCATAAAAAACCGATAAATATTCTTATGGGAAATCAAATGCTTTACAAGTTTTGACTTAAAATTTAACCTTTAATAACTTTTGATGGGGTAAATTTAGCCAAAAATGATAAAAGACTTTTTTTTGTAGAGCATTTGATTTCTTATAAGAATATTTATCGTTTTTTTTTCAGGGTACTGATTTTTACTTGAATTACAAAATTCCGAAGTTAAAAGATCAAATTGTAAAACTATACCAATTTTTAAGGCATGATTGTAAGAAAAGGGTTCATCTGACGGAAAATTCCAATCAAACCTTTTTTGTAGACCATTCAATTTTCTTCAGAAAATATTCTTAAGTAAATTTTGTTAAACTCAATGATGTGGGAGTTCTGAGACAAAAACTCGCTCAGGAAAAAAAAATCTAAAATTGCGATGATAGACCTCTTAATATTAATATTATGGACTCAAACTTTCACCATAATTTTTTTTTGTCACCCCAAACAATATTTTCGATATACTTTCCAAAAAAAAAATAGTCGATTTTTTTGGCCCAGTCTAGTGTACAGTAATAATATTGTTTTAGGCCGGTGATAGATCCTTAGCAAATGTGGTGGCTCACGAAATAGCACACAGTTGGACCGGTAATTTAATTACGAACCGTAATTTTGAACATTTCTGGTTAAACGAAGGTTTTACCGTTTTTGTGGAACGTAAAATTCTTGGTCTTTTGGAATCGCCTCAGTCGCAAGATTTTGATGCGTATGGTCGTGTTGGAGACTTGGAAGAAACGGTAAATTATTGATGTAAGTCGAAAAAAAATTATAATAATTGTTTTAGGTTAATTTGCTGGGCAAGACCAGTCCTTTAACACAACTGGTTATTGATCTTAAAGGTGTTCATCCAGATGATGCATTTTCTGTGGTGCCTTATGAAAAAGGACAAACTTTTTTGAGGTATTTGGAAACTACAGTTGGAGGACCAGGTAATTTAAACAATGGGATCATTTGTAAAACAAGTTTTAAAAATAATATTAAAAGCAGGTTTTTATCAAAAATTACCCTGATTTTATTAATTTTAATAGCAAAGTTGTCAGTGTTAGCAACCTTTGAAATTAACTGAATGGTTTTTAGTACAAATTATAACAAAATATGCGGATATATTTTTAAAGATAAAAAAATAAATCTTTCTAAAAAATATGCAAGTTGCCAAAAAGTTTGGGATGAGATTTCTTGGCAAGAAATTCTTGCGCAAAAATAAGAAAAAAATCTATTATAATATCCGAAAACTAGTTATAACTAGTTTCCAGAAACATATTATTGTAATTTTTAGTGATTCTAAAAATATTGAGTAATTTTTTGTCCAAGGCAAAAACAAACAAATTAGGTGCCTGCGTAATTTAAAGTAACTGCGTCCTACCTATAAACAGGATGCTAAGTAGACTCTTATAACATTGGAGTTTAAAATATGTACACACCAATAAAAAAAAACTTTTAGTAATACTTTAATACTTTTTTGACAGTCTTAAAATTTTACTCTTTTATAAATGCAAAACATATACACTGCGCATCAAAATTAACGCCTAATAACTACAAAAATTCTAACTCTAAAACGCCTTTACCAAACTTGAAATTTTTGTATAAAAATACTTTAACTTATATCTGAGTTTACGTGTTCGCAGGTTTTTCGAGAAAATATTTTTAAAGCCCTTTTATTTAATAATAAAAAACGTAAAAAAACAACTTTTAGGGATTTAAATAAAAAAATAAAAAATATGCTGTTAAAGACCGTATTTTTGTTAGTATGCCCTAAAAACTTTGTAAAAATCAAACGAACAGTAACGAAGATACAGCGCTTCAAATTTGGTAAAAATGACCCCTTTTTGATTATTTTGCTAAAAAGTTGTCATTTTTTAGGACCATTAAGCGCTGTATTTTCGTTACTGTTCGTTTGATTTGTACAACATTTTTAGGGTATACTATCAAAAATACGGTCTATCACAGCATATTTTTTATTTACTTAAAAAAAAAATTTCTATAAAAGTTTTTTTTTTTCGAGCGTTTTTTATTATTAAATAAGGATATTTTCTCGAAAAACCCTTGAACACGTAAACTGAGATATAAGTATTTTTATCAAAAATTTTATAAAGGCATTTTAGAGTTGGAGTTGGAGTACAAATTTTATTAAGGAACATGTAAATTCATCAATTTAAATATCTCAGACATGCTTGGGACAAGACAGGCAACTAACAATTTGAGTTTTAAAACTTAAAAATGAAATTCTTTTAACTTTTTTAATTTGTTTTTGCAGTTTTAAAAGAAAATTGTTATCTTGTATATTTTAGGGCCAAATTAAATTAAATATATTTTGCGATATTTTGTAAGGCAGATATTTATCGGGGACAAGTTGTCCCGTACAACCAATTCCTCGATATCCTCCATATCTGAAAAATCCTTTAAATTTTTTTTCAAAACTGTTTTGTTTATATAAAGCTCAGGTTTTGATGTAATTATATTTTATATACAGGGTGCCCGTTTTTCGAGCTCCACCATGGGGATCTCCGTTATTATAAGAGATACGAGGTCGGTTAAATTAGGGCAAAGTTGCGCATTTTCATGCTGAATAATTATCTAAAAGAAAATTTTATGTGTCATTTTTACTTTTTGAATTATTGGGAAAAAACTGAAATTTGCAATTTTCGTTTTTATTTTTTTAAGCGAAAACCAAAAGAACTGGACGTTTTTAAGTAGCGCGTTCTTAAGGCACTTTTTTACAAGGAATCCAAATCTGTCATCTTTTTTTCCAAGGCGTCCTTGATGCCAGAGTTACAACACTCAACTTTGGTTTTTCTTATAGGCGCCATATTGGATTTTTGCATTTTTAAAACGTTTTTTTTTTCCTGATTTCAACGATGTATCACACAATATGATCGAATCTTACGTGCTGATCAAAATTGGGAAAAAATCGTTTTTGGAAAAGTGTTTGGAAAAAACGCCATCAATTTTGGTTAACAAACTAAATTTTGACAGCTCAGTTAAATAATAATAATAATTTTTATTTATTACTAAGCCTACTAGGTACAATGTCATATTTGAATTATAAAACACGAAGGCTTATTGGAAAATAAAATTTAATATTCAATAATAACACACGGTAAGGTGATTTCAAATAACTTGGCCAGCGCGGTCACCTGATCTTTCTCCACTGGACTATTATTTATGGGGAACTATGAAAGACTTAATTTTTAAATCTGTACCCATCGAAATCGATGAGCTGAGAAGAACAATAATCACCACTTTGAGGACTAAGATAAGAAGACGAGATATCTCGCGAGCTATTCAGAATCTGAGGAAACGAGTAGAATTATGTTTAGAAGTGGAAGGTGAAACATTTGAGCATTTGTTATAACTTTGTTTTGTTTTTCGAAGAATAAACGTCTACATTAATATGTCAGTCCTAATTCAAAACCTAAATTTTTAAGTAGGTAGGTAAACATTCCAGATCCAAATTTAACTGAAATGTCAAAATTTTGTTTGTTACAAAAATTGTTTGCGTTCTTTCCAAAGCACTTTTCCAAAAACGATTTTTTCCCAATTTTGATCAGCATGTAAAATTCGATCATATTGTGTGATACATGGTTGAAATCAGGAAAAAAAAAACGTTTTAAAAATGCAAAAATCCAATATGGCGCCTATAAGAAAAACCAAAGTTGAGTGTTGTAACTCTGGCATCAAGGACGCCTTGGAAAAAAAGATGACAGATTTGGATTCCTTGTAAAAAAGTGCCCTAAGAACGCGCTACTTAAAAACGTCCAGTTCTTTTGGTTTTCGCTTAAAAAAATAAAAACGAAAATTGCAAATTTCAGTTTTTTCCCAATAATTCAAAAAGTAAAAATGACACATAAAATTTTCTTTCAGATAATTATACAGCATGAAAATGCGCAACTTTGCCCTAATTTAACCGACCTCGTATCTCTTATAATAACGGAGATCCCCATGGTGGAGCTCGAAAAACGGGCACCCTGTATATATATATATATATATATATATATATATATTATATATTTTACTCGCGCCCCAGGGGCACCTAGCTTTTTTTAAGAAATATGGCACGCCACTGCTGTTAATTTATTTTAATATTTCGTCACCTGAGAATTATAGGGTTCTATCTGCATTTTTTAATTCTTGTTTTAAGTCCTAAAGATGCATATTGTTGTATTCTCTATGTAAATGGGGTAGAAATTGTACAGTTTAAGGCTTAAACTGTACAATTTCTACCCCATTTATGTATAGATAGAACAATTGTTATATTAATATGCAGCTTTAAGACAAAAACAAGACTAACCTCAATTTAAAAAAAAATACAGATAGAACAATATAATATCCAGGTGTCGTTTTGTTTCAGATAAAAATTTTAAATTCAAAATGCAAATTTTAAAAAATATCTCTGTACCTCAGAGCCTGGCCTAATTTTGAAGGAGAGCCATTTACGAGGGGTAAACCACTTAAAAATCTTAGAGACCAACGTTCAATGTTAGTGGACGTTGTGTTGAGAATTTTTTCCTTATCAGTCGTTATCAATAAGGAAAACTTGCTTAATCGGTGCTTAATCAGTGCTTAGCGACGACGAACATTGTTATTGTTATCCTTAGCCGTTAATTCGTAAGCGTTTTTTAACTTAAAAAAATCAGTGGTTTACCCCTCGGCCATTTAAATATTTGAAACAATTTTCATCTGAATTGTTGTTTAATTTAAACAGTTTAAATATCTATTTCCACAAAATATTCTGCGTGTTTCATTGAAATCTAGCTTTAAACAACAAAGCAAAGATGAAAAGGCCGTATTTCCTTCAAAAATCAAGTTTTTGGACTGGCTCTGGGGTACAGATCTAGAGGTACCATTTGCAAGGCATTCGAATATTTTAAATTTTATTTTTATTACCTATAATTTTAGTAAAAAAACAAAGATAAAACAATATCATATCACATTAAAGATGAAATATATAATTTGACAAAAATTATCATATCAGAAAAGTTAAGACTAAAATTTTATTTTTTAGCTGAATTTGAACCATTCCTGAAAAAATACTTCGACAACTTTAAGTACCAATCGATCGAAACCGACGATTTCAAAAACTTCTTCGAAGATTACTTTTCCTCCAACCCCAACATAAAAAAGATCGACTGGAAAACGTGGTTGTACGCCCCTGGAATGCCCCCGGTAATCCCCGACTACGACAAAACCCTCGCTGTAGTCTGCGACGAAATAATACAAAAATTCATCAAGTGGAACGACGAAACTCCCATCCCAATCACAGAAGAGGAAAAAGAAAAACTTAGTTCGTCGCAAATTATTTATGTGTTGGAAAAAATATCCAGGGCTGATCCACAGTCAACAAACAAACTTGAGGCCTTAAACAAATTATTCGATTTGGATAACGTTAAAAACTGCGAAATTAAGTTTAGATGGTTTAGAACTTGTCTTAAGGCTCACTGGGAGGAAAAAGTGGATGCTGTTTTGAGTTGGATAAATGTTGTGGGTCGCATGAAGTATGTTCGTCCCTTATACAGAGATATGTACAGTTGGGAGAAAACTAGAACAAGGGCTGTGGAAAATTTCAAACAAAATTCAAAATCTATGATGCATGTTGTGGTGTTTACTTTAAAGAAAGATTTGCATATTAGAGAATAATGGTGTTTAAATTATTTTGATTTATTAATAATTAACAATTATTGTTGTTTAAATCAATTCTATAACCCTTTTGAATGGCAAATTTATGCATTTCTTAACTTTGTACCTTATATACTACACATGTTTTAAGAGGGTTTATGAGTAATTTTATATTGTTGTTTAAAATTAAATTATTCTTTAATTACATTTCTTTTATTTTTATACAATGTTTTTCTCAAAAAACGTTGTCAAGTCACTTTTCCACCAACCCAAACATCAATAACAAGAGATAGTGGATTTGGGTGTTGAGGATAATAATAATTATTATAAAAATAAAACAGCTTTAAATTTTCTTAACTTTTATTTTTATGTAATAAAGGAGACATTTTTATTAATGTTTAAGAGTAAGTTAAAAAATGTCTTTATTATCTTGTGTTTTCCATAGTTTTGCCAGACCTTTTATATTTAGATCTTCTATGTTCCTATATAAGTGTGAGTTTTTAGTTTATATATTTTTTTAACAGCATATAGTAATAGTAGTAATTAAATAGACCTAAAAAAAAACTCCCCCCTCGGGCGTGATAAATCGTGACGGTCCTTCAAACCCCCCTCCCCCCAGCGTCACAGGATTTATGGACGTCCCCTTAAATTAACAAATTATCTTAGTAAGTATTTATAAATCCATAAAATATAATTTTATTAAATTTGCAATAATACCTAATGCAATAATTATTATAGTAATATATGATGTATTTAAATCTTATATAATATACTATATTTTTTAAACTTCTAAATATATTTTCTTAATTCTTCTTTCTGGCAACCTTTAGCTTAATCTCCAAATCAAAAAAGTTTGGGGTTTTTTCTTTAAGTCTAAAAATTTAGATTAATGGAATACAAATTATTGTTATACAGTGTGTCCAAAATCGGCAAATTTTTCATTAATAATAATAATAATTCCTATATATATTAACAATTTTCAACTTTTTTGTTATTGATAGGTATACACTGACCGTCAAAATTAACGCATAATAAGTAAAAAAATTCTAACTCTAAAACGCCTTTACCAATCTTTATAAAATTTTGGATAACAATTTTTATCCAAATTTTTTAACTTATATCTCAGTTTAAGTAATAATAATAATGCTTTATTGAACTAAAACTAAGTTCAAAGGCTATTGACCGTAGTCCTTCAGCCGCCAGTTTAAGTTTTCAAGGGTTTTTCGAAAAAATATCCTTAAAGCTTTTTTATTTAATATTAATAAAACGCTCGAAAAAATTTTTATAGGAAATTTTTTGAAGTAAATAAAAAATATGCTGTTAAAGACCGTATTTTTGTTAGTATACCCTGAAAATTTTGTACAAATCAAAAGAACAGTAACGAAGATACAATGCTTCAAAGTCGGTAAAATAATCAAAAAGGTGTCATTTTTACCGACTTTGAAGCGCTGTATCTTCGTTACTGTTCGTTTGATTTGTACAAAATTTTCAGGGTAAACAAAAATACGGTCTTTAAGAGCTTATTTTTTATTTACTTAAAAAAATTTCCTATGAAAGTTTTTTCTCGAGCGTTCTTTTAATATTAAATAAGAGGGCTTTAAGAATATTCTCTTGAAAAACTCTCGAACACGTAAACTGAGATATAAGTTGAAGTATTCTTATACAAAATTTCAGAAAGATTGGTAAAGGCGTTTTAGAGTTAAATTTTTTTTACTTATTATGCGTTAATTTTGACGCGCAGTGTAGTTAATTATACTTTTTTTCAAAATTGTTTTTAGACTAAATAAATAATTTTGATGATCCCCAACAGAAAAATACGGACCCAAAAAAAAAAATAACGGACACCCTAATATACTCACCATTTCCAGTCCTTTTTTTCGAAATTTGTAAACCAGTTTATTAATAAATAGCCTCAACATTATAAATTAAATAAAACAATTTTGAAAACCTTTTAACTCAAAAAGTAAACTGTTTATAAACTCATAGGCACCTCTACCACATGATATGGTATTAGTGCGCCATTTTGAGGACACCTTGTATTTATAGTACGAACTGTGCAATATTTTAAAACTATAATGAAAATATTTTTAAGTGAATACTTTTATTTTTAATATTTTATTGTTCATATGAGAATTAAAAATTATTTTGTGAATACCTACTTTTATTTTTAATATTTTTATTGTTCTATGAGAATTAAAAATTATTTTGTTTATTTATTTTTTTTTGCTTTTTTTAAATATAATTTTTATGAGAAAAACAACAAAGATTAATCTTTTTAGGTGTAAAAATGAAAAAATGAAAAGGCATGCTAAACAAAAAGTAATAAATTTATTGTACAGCACAAAATGTAAAATGTACTGCATATTTTACACTTAAATAACATGTGATAACAATAACACAAGTGTATAAAAATAATAACAAATCACCATCTGAATAAAAGATAGACATAAAACACAGGTTTGTGATAAATAATAATAAAGTGTAAAAAAATTAAAATACCCTATGGTAGATAGAAAAGTACACTAAATATTTACAGTTTGGCATTGGCTTTAAGTAGTGGGGCTAACTTTTGGGCTAGCATAACATTTCCTGTTACTTTAAGCTTTCCCTTCATGAAAGCCGTTTGTGGGTTCAGTTTTCCCTCGGACAACAACATAAAGTCTTCATCGGAAATTGTCAGGGTTGTGTTGGGTTTTCCTTCTGGCTTTCCATTGTACACTTTGGCATTTTTCAAATCCATGGCTAAAAAATAATGTTTTACAAGTATAGTTACGATTAATTGTAAACTTCTTACTCCATTGCTTGGCTTGTTTGCCATCTTTAGTGATGTTGTACAAAAAAACTCCACCAACGCTTTTAGCCTTGTTGGGGTCGGCTTTTACTTGGTCAATGATAAATTCGAAGACAGCATCACTTTTCAAGTTTGAAGCAGACAGTTTATTTGCCAAGGGCTGCATGACTGATTTTAGATCAACGTAGGCACCTTAAAAAGAAGTAATGACTATAAAACATTATTAATTTTCACAAGGTTATTGATTTTAATTGCTGGAACATTATTAATTCAGGTAAATCGACGTTATTTCTCACTTACACAAAAGAGAGGTTATGTTTAAATGGGTGTGTTGCAAATTAAAGTAATGTAAAATTATTTTGCGAATAAAATATCGCAGCAAACACTCACCAGTTAAAACACAAGATACAATTAATCTAAATGCGATATTTTCACTATGGTTTAATATTAAAGAACTTTGACCTACGTTCAAGTACCGCTACATGCGCATAACTAATCAATTTTATTTCGATTCAAGCGGTATCAAAGTTTAAAATTTGCATTTTAATTTAAAAAGGCATTTTTTTGTTATTATTTTAATGATTTAAGATAGACAACAATTTTCTAAGGACGTAGGTAGGTACCTATAAAAAATAAAAAGTTAAATTTTGTGATCAAGAACTTTATACAGTTCTTGTTTGTGATAGGCAGAGTTGGGAGTACTGAGTATTTTTTTTAATGGATTATGCTATCATTACTAATTATTACTTGATTTTATAATTGCAATGAGAGAAAAATATTGAGTACTTTTTATTTTTACTTTACCAATTTGATAATTACAATTTTTTTTTATTTTGTAATTATAATCAGAGAAAATATCAAGTACTTTTTATTTTAACTTAAAATGTTTACTGATTCTAAATATTTTTTTATTTTATTTGATAATTTGATAATTACAATTTTTTTTTATTTTGTAATTATAACACTACAACACGATTTCCCTCCCATGAAAAATTTTAGCAGATTTTGAAAATAGAGGTAAAAAAAACGTACCCGTGTCTCACAGTTTTGCGAGATCACGTCATAAAAAAATTTTAAGCCGTCATTCCTATTATTTATGCTTATACAGATTGTACATTTTTTACTCGGTTAAAAATATATTTTTTTGTAAATATGGTATGTTTTTACACAATACAAAAAACAAATAGGTATAAAAAAAGTTTATATTTTGATTTTTTTTAAATAATTTTTTTTTTTATTTTTTTTTTTTTTAATGAAACACATTTGTATTTATCTTATATTTAATACATGTTGGAATAAAATCTTGGTCGTTTAGTTTGACGATTATATCCCATACAGCACACCAAATCACAATTACGTTGTATTCGCATTGTGACGATGTATCTAGATGCAGACACAGGGTTACACAATTCTACGATGTAAATGTGCTACGTTTACACATGGTATGCACACACGTATGCACAATGGTTAAACGTCCGCCTCACAATGTAGCCACAATACCACATTAACATATACACAAATTATGTGATCCACGGTGTGTTATCGGATACACAGTAGCTGTGTATTGTGCTTAAACTCTGCTTACACATGGCATTTGTCTCACTCGAATTGAACGTAAATATACTATTCTTTGTATATGTAGCTCTGTCGCACCGTGTATACACCCTGTCCAAAAAAACTTTTAATGAGTTACTTCAGGAAAATAAGTTTTGCCGCTTGACTTTTCGTTCTCAAAACAGGTATTTTTTAAAATTCATAATATTATGTTTTTTTGAGAATGATAGGTCGGACGGCGAAACTTTTATTTTCCTGAAGTATCTCATTAAAGTTGCTTTAAAATTGTTCTTTTTTTCGTTCCACATCTTATAATATATATTATACTTACTATTATGGAATGCTTTTAATTGGTGCCACAAAAAACAGAAGTAGAAAAACACAGGAAAATGACAGAACTTTTACAAGAAGATTAAAATATATTAAAAACTGAAATAACAAAAATTATTTCGATTCGGACACTGCATTTTTACTTTGATTTCAAATGGATGGTTTACTCAACAATCAAAATTAATATAAAAAATGTATCGATTTATCGCTGCAATAATTTTTTTATTTAACATTTAAAAAAAAAGTACGAAATATAGGGTGCAATCAAGTGCATGGCGCATTAATATAGTACATTAAAACAATGAAATAAATGTTGACCGACCCTCGTATAAAGATTGTTTTGAAAACAATGCTTTTTATTTATAAATGCCGCAGATGTGTAAATTTTTTGTTTTTTTTGCTGTTTCAATTGACTTCGTATACTTAAATAATTTTTTTACTTAAATTAAATATGTTTTAGGTACACTTGCTTTAAGACTTAAATCAATTCATTTAAATATCTTTTAATTTTTAGTATTAAAAATGTTAATTCAACAAAGCTCAATTTTTACAAAACATTAATTAAATAAAAACTTTAATCACCCGACTTTAAAGCATTTTGATTGGCTTAAAATTGAAACATTTTGTTACTTGGTTTAAAAGTAAACCGTTTAATATATTTCTTAAATTTGCAAAACTCTGTATAAGATTAAAATAATTTTAAAATGCATCTATAATGGTTGCCTATCCATTTAGTAAATATTTATATTTTTAACTATGCAGTCCAGCTGTTATCGAGTCTATTAAAATATGTCGCGAATAGTGTGAATAACATTTTATTGGATAGCCCTTAAAATAAATTATGACGTGATGTGAAAAGACGCCGAGACAAGGGTATCATTTTTTTAACTCTATTTTTAGAATCTGTAGAAATTTTTCATGGGAGGGACCAAAAATCAAATTTTGTCGTACTGTGTAATCAGAGAAAATATCAAGTACTTTTTATTTTTACTTAAAATGTTTACTGATTCTAAATATTTTTTTATTTTATAATTAAAAATACATTATATATATTTTTCTTTGATTTATTAGAATGGTGAATAAGGATACTTCCGTGCTTGTTTATGATTTTATTGCGACTAGTTTCGATCTATATTAGATCACAATGTGTATTAGATCATCTTCAGGCAAACTACAAAAATATGTAAAATTATTATAAGGTTATGTTAACATAATAATGATAAAATTAACGCCGTGTCTAGAGTCCCGTCAGACGGTTCCCTATTGCGCCCCCGTTAACAGAGTGACGTCATCCAATGATGCAATCTTAGGACGGGAAGCAGATATTTTTTCCTTAACTAACGTCCCGAGTCCGCCCGCTTCGGTGGAAAACCGGCTTAAGACACTAAATTTCCTTAGCTAACTCAATTTTAATTTATATCTATATTGAAAAATTACACTAATTTTATATACAGTATTTATTAAGCCGGGTCTACAATTGTCGCAGAACGCAGATCGCAGAACGTAAGCATGCGCAAAGCACCCAGCGACGTTGCGATGGAGCAAGGTCACACGTCGCAGAAAGTTAATTCATCTTCAATAACGTCTTTCGCAGGCTTTTATGTTAGCCAATCATAGAGCGCTAGAATCTATCTGTCTCTGTGCTCTCTTTCTTTCAATAATCAATACTTTTATTTAGTTCCTTTTTCTATTTCGCGGTTATTTTTAAATTTTTGGTGTAATTCTCAGAAATTATTCGAAAAACGTAATTGTCCAAATTTAAAATAATTTTCAATATTTTCTAAAGACCATTTAAATAAATGTAGGTATGTATATTCTTATTACTATTGAATATTCATACCTATATTGATTTAAATAGGTAGTTTTTAGGAAATATCGAAAATCATTTAGAATTTTCAAATTTTGATCAAAATAATTATTTAAAATTTTAAATAATATTAACTAATTCTATGATAATCTAAACAATTTTTCCAATCCAATATTGGAAATATTTGTTTACCAAAAGTATTATGATAATTCCCTAAAAATTTGCATTTTTTCATTTATATTATATATATAATATACAAATATAATTATATATAACTTTTAAACATTTTTTACCTAAAAATAAACCCCAAGCAGTTTTTTAGAGATAGGGATCCATCCATATCTCTGTTTTTTTTCACTAAATTTAGGGGAAACACTTCTACGTTGGCCACACTGTGGTTATAAAGAAAACAATTGCTCTGATTGGTCAATAAAAGCACATCGCGCGACAATTGTAGACAGCTCACATAACAACGACGTGTGACCTTGCTCCATCGCAACGTGGATGGGTGCTTTGCGCATGCTTACGTTCTGCGATCTGCGTTCTGCGACAATTGTAGACCCGGCTTTAAGGTGCTTCAAAAAAATTTTCGCTGTTACCCTCTCAAATGTTTTTATTTAATATAAAAAAAATCCTCACCAAATATGGGCGTTCCAGCTCAACTCTAATAGGTCGCTGTTTTTATTTTAGTTTCCCATTGAATTAACATGGGAAAAAATTAATTTATGTTTGGAATTTTATACCTCTGTATCAAAGTAACTTATGGCAATGATCATTGCAGTTTGTTATATAAAATTTAACGTTTTACAAAAAAGGTCTCTTATTATTTTTCGATAAATTGATTTCTTCTAGAGTTATTCGAGGTCAAAGTTTTCCCCCTTTCACCTCCCGTCTGCTAATTGTACCAGAAAATTTGATAATAATCAAACTTTGACTTCGAATAACTCTAGAAGAAATCAATTTATCGAAAAATAATAAGAGACCTTTACTCTAAATCAATTTAGAGTAAAAAATACAATGTATTGATAATTTTTATTTTCTCCATTCTCAAGTAACTTAAATATTCTAATGGCAATACTTTTTAAGTACAAATTATTTTTGTATTTTTACTTTAAATCAATTTAGAGTAAAAAATACAATGTATTGATAATTTTTATTTTCTCCATTCTCAAGTAAGTACGTACAAATCTCGCAACTCTGGTGATAGGTACCTACCTACTTATTTGTTTTAGCGACTTTTTCATAAGAGTGCATTTAATTTAGCACGAGCTTGAAAAATGCTTTTTTCACGGGTAAAAAGCAATGCTTTTTCTACGAAAAGTAATGATCATTGTTCGAACAACTGTCAAGCGGTTTTAACCTCACTTTTCAATGTTTGACGTCGTAGCTGTCAATCTCTTTTCACACAGAAACATGGAGCCTACAATGTAGGCCCTACATGTGTAGGCTCCATGCACAGCACAGAAACTTCACTTTTCATTCGAGTTTTTCCAAAGCAAGGTTGCAACTTGCAAATAAAAAGATTCATCTTCTTAGCAACGACGCCATACAAAATGTGACTTTTACATGGCAAACTGTCAGAAAATACATATGTCAACCACAGTCTTATATATAGGGTGTCCCAAAATATGTGGGCAATCTCCCGCGGATTTAGATATAACACATCAAAATAATATGACAACTTCCTATAACTATAACTATAATTGCCTAATAATTATTAAACTATAATTATATCGCGTGATTTGGCATTAATGCTCTTTTAGGGACGCCCTGTAGATTCCGGAAATAGGCAAATTTTTATTCTAAACAAACCAACAAGAAAGTCTAGCCATACTGGGTAAAAGCAATTATGTTAACAGAGAACAATTAATTTAAATTATTTTTTAACAAACACATAATGTGTTTAATTAATGTATTGTCATTAAGTATGTTTAGCAGTAAAAAACACGTTAAATCGATTAGAAGTATGGATCCCTCCAGTTTTTGTAGTATTTTGTAAGTAATAAGAACTTAAATTAGGCCTTTAAATTAATTAATAAATTTTTTCAGGGCAAGTAATTGGTAATTGTAATAGGTACCTAGTTATGTCAAAACATTTATAAAAATTAAATTTTAAAACTTTTTCGTTTAAATCTTACAGAAATGTGAATATTAAATTTTTAATGTAATAAAATGTTATATAACATATACCTATAGGTACCTATATTAATAATTGATAATCAATTAAAAACGCCGTTTTTAACAAACACATAATGTGTTTAATTAATATTAATTAAACACATTATGTGTTTGTTATATACATATGTATTGTCATTAAGTATGTTTAGCAGTAAAAAACACGTTAAATCGATTAGAAGTATGTATCCCTCCAGTTTTTGTAGTATTTTGTACTTAATAAGAACTTAAATTAGGCCTTTAAATTAATTAATAAATTTTTTCAGGGCAAGTAAAAAAAAGATTTTGTTTCTGAATTTAATAGTCAATGTCAAAACATTTATAAATATTAAATTTTAAAACTTTTTCGTTTGAATCTTACAGAAATATGAATATTAAATTTTTAATGTAATAAAATGTTATATAACATATACCTATAGGTATATTAATAATTGATAATCAATTAAAAACGCCGTTTTAATAATACCTACCTATAATATATTAAGGATAATAAACACTTAACAATTTGAATGACACTTAAAATAGTTTAAGTGTTCAAAGTGATAATTTTATTCTGATAAGAATTTTTGTGGAGTGATAAAATTAGCTGTTATTTTGACCAGGTGGTTTTGTACCATTTTTACATAAAAAATATAAAATTAAAAAATAAATAAAAATTGTATAAACAATTCTGGATAAATAGTGCATCAATATGATATAAACTGTTTATATAAATATATATTAAGGTTTATTATTATAATATAATAATATTATGATGATACACATTTCACGACAATTTTAAGATACCTATATTTTGTGTTCAAAGTTACATATTGTTGTTTTATTACATATTAATAACAATTAAGACTCTTACATTATACATTAGCAAAGCTGATAAATTAAATTGTTTTATTTTAAATCTATAAATAAATAATCTATAGCTATATGCTATATGCTTTCTAGAAACCATAAACAGATTGCAATAAAAAATGTGATCCACTATTAATATAATTATATAAATACTTAAGAAATTGTTTGGCTTAAATTTAAATTATATAAAAGATAGGTACAAACATAAAGGTAAACTGATAAGTTTTGCTAGGGTTTTGTCCTTCATTTATTTATAGTATATATGGGGCGACAAAGCAAAATCGATATATTTTTTTCTTTAGGCATTTGGGTTTTGAAAATACTCCTAAGAGGATTTTTTATCACTACCTTTGTTTGAACAGAATAGATCTTGGCAATATTGAAAAAAGTGATTTTTATAGCAAATTCTTTAATAAAAGAAATAATAATTATTATTTCTTTTATTAATTTCAAAAACTTTAAACAAAAAGTTTGTGAACGTATTTTCTGGAAAAAATAATGCGGTATTACAAATAGTTGTTTTGGAAAAAACATTTGAAAAAATATTACTCACATAGAAAAACCTATGATTACTCATGAATTGATTTGTCACATTGTCTCCTACATTCTGCTTTTCTTATCGTGATTTATGGTAAATAACTTGCTGAAAAGTTAATTTTATTTGTAATTAAGCTTCAGCTAATATTACTCACGAATTTTTTTTTGATGAGTAATATTTTTTCAGATATTTTTTCTAAAACAGTGCATACAAAATTGAAAAAAAGCCACTTTACGGTATATGTTGACTTTTTTCAAGATTAATTTTATAGCTTTTATATAAAAAATGACGTATTTCCAGACGCATTATTTTTTCCAGACAATACGTTCAAAACATAACTTTTTGTATATGAAGTTTTAACCTCAATTTTTTTCAATTTTAACTTAACGCTAACTTCAGGCTGTGGTATTTCGCCCACGGATTGAAGTTAAGAAATGAACAATCAGGGAATACATTATTTTTTTTTACTCTTAGCAGGGCCACGAAATTAATTACATAGGCCTAGGTATTCCTTGTGAGTGTTGAATAAAATAATTTTATAATAAGTTTTTAAGTCATTTAACATTCTTAAGTAAGTACATTCTAAAACATGTTTTAACAAGTTGGAACATTTTTAATTTCTAAAATTTATTTTGACTTTCTCAAATAAGTTTTGTTCTTTAAAAATATTAAGTAACTATTTTATCTTTCAATGTTTGATGATTTCAAATTACTTTTTGGTATTTACATAATATGCGTTTCTAATATTCTTTAGTATGTCTGGACATTTATGTCAGACTATACAGATTTAAAATTTCCGGAAAAATTGATTTCCCACAAAAACGAAAATTTTGTGAAAATTTCAACATTGTTTATAAACTAGAAAATTGCTAGGCATACTGTACAAATTATCATGATGAAAAAATGCATTTTACGAGACAGGCGAAATTTCGGTGAATCCCCGTCAAAATATAAGAATATATTTATTTAATTTTAATCAATATATGTATAGGGGTTGCCATTTTATTTTAAAAAATAACGGACATCGCCTCTTTCACCCCAATAATAAAAACAAAACCTGTAAGTTTCCTATTTATTTGTAGAAAATAGAGGACCTTGCGTCCGACTTTTGACCATTCATATTTTTCTTTGGAATCTGCTTCCTAATTTTAAATATGTATATTGTAATATGACAAACAATCGATACCTGTACAGTGGCGGACACAGAATTTTAAACGTTATAATTTGGTTGTCCATGTATAAATTTGTAAATAGCAAAGAAACAATATTGCCCATTTTTACTTTCGCTGTCAAAACGACAAGACTAGTGATAACCGGAAGTAAGGTTAGTTGGCCATAAAGGAAGTTAAGATTTTAATATTAACTGGCCGTTCAAAATTCCGTGTCGGTCACTGTACTTGATTTATTTGAATTCATGAGCATGCGCTTTTTAAAATTTGGCGTTCAAAATGTAAAATGCGCATGCATACGATGTCCGAAGTAGTTCGGGATTAGCACCGCGAAAACACCTATTAATATATTTTCAGGTTCCCGGTTGTGATTCCATATTTTTTTAATTTGTCTTTTTAAAATTTTTCCAATACTTAGTCCAGAAAAAAAACGAAAAAAACACGTTTCCCCCCATTTTTTTCGAACCGTTAAGTCTCTATGACAGACATTTCGCCGTTAAAAATACATAAAGGCGTATTTCGTTTTTTGCGCTAAGGAAAAGTATGTTAACCTTTATTACCAAATATTGTAGTTAACACATTTTTGATTTGCAACAAAAACGAGATACGTATTTTTAACAGCGATTTAAGGTGTTAAAAACAGTCAACTATGAATGTCAGACACAAATTCTTGATGAAAACGTGTCAGGTTTAACTAGGGTTTTAAAATTTCCGGAAAAAATGAGCCGGCAAAAAAAAGTTTTTATGAAATGAAGAAATTGGGAAATTTTTAGAAAAATTGTGTTTTGCTTTTTTTTAAATTTTATTAAAAGGGTAAGTAATACGATACAAATGGAAAAGTAAATTTTTCCGATATAGAAAAAAAGTGAATTTCCGACGCTGATTATAATCATATAATATTATGATTACCTATAATAATTATTCCTTTTATTTTAATTCAGTAAGAATATTTTACCGGATCCCAAAAAAACATATCTATTTTTAATGGACTCCCTTTTGCAAAAAGGACCCACCCGACAGTACATTTAACGTTAACGTTTTTTTTAATTAAATCAATTAAATTCAATTCGATGTTTAGTTTTATTGTTTTTTTCTGTAATAAAGGATATTTTTTTAAATTAATATATTGTTAAGTTATTGATTGCTACCTTTATTGAATGTGTATATTTTCTGAAAAAAAATCGAGATTTCCAAAAAAGCCACACTTTCGAAGGCCTGGAAAAAAATGTTTTTCCCAATTTTTTCGGTTTTTTTTTCGACACCTTAAAACCCTAGGTGTAAGTGTATCTTTAAGTATTTCTTTAGTAAAAAAATGTTTTATTTCTGGATAAAAATTGTTTCAAAATGTTCAAAATTTGCTTACCTGAAATGACAGTTACTCCAGTTTCTGCAACCACAGTTTCAAAATGAATTCTATTATTTTCCCTCCACATGTCAACTCTTAAAGTTTCTCCTGGGAAAACAGGTTTTACAAATCTTAACTAAAAAACAAGATTATTTTAATTCATTAAAAACAAATATATAAATAAAAAATACCTTGCAAGCTCTAAACAAAGTAGCATCATTATTTGCAAACTGCCTCAAGACAAGCCTTACAGAAAAACCTAAGGAACACAAACCATGCAGTATGGGTCTATCATAACCCATAATTCCTGCCATATTGGGGTCAATGTGAAGTGGGTTAGTATCACCTGCAATATGTAAAAAAATATTAAAAATTAATTTAAATTGCGTTAAGTGTTAAGTGTAGTTGTCTCGTGGATATCAGTCTGATGTTTGTACTCTTTGGGTGTTTTGACATCTAACAAATATAAAATTAGTAACTGAAGATAGATTACAACCAAAGAAAAGAAATAATTTTGATAGTGGTGAGCATTTTTTCAAATGTCAGAAATGGTAAATGCATTTTAAAATCTAATATGACAGAAATACATATATTATATTACAAAAGAATACAATTTTGGGTTGGTTCTTACCAGATAATCTGTAGAGGGCAGCCTGATCTACACTTGTTTTTTGACTTAAGGAAGCATCAGGTCGCCTGTTGGGTTTTGGTTGAGTCGGTATGATTTTTACACCGTTTCTGGGTCCACCGAAATTTCCGGCTTTCACAGCAAAAGTGACGGTCTGATTTACCAACACCAAATCGCCGGATTCGTTGAAAGTTTCGACTGAAAAAAATTCATATATCTATTCATCTAATTTTCAAACACATTTTATTGAATATGTAAAATACACTTTAGAAAATATGTACCAAGTAAAATTTAAATTTTAAATTTTATTAGAAATTATTTTCCTTGAATATTTTGCATGTAACATGCGTTAAAAATTTCCGTTTCCTGTTCTTTTATTTTTAGATTTTAAATTAAAGTACCTAAATATCATTAAAAACAACATATAAAGTAAATAAGTAACAATATAAATTGTTAATTTGTTGTTATAATGGCAAAATTAAGGTTAAAAACTGTTATATTTTTGTGTTTCTAAAGTTTGCAGCACGAAATTTGAAATCTTAAAAAGTGCTAAAAAAATTCTTTTTGAGATTTTCATAAAAATATACTGTAATAGTTCATTTCTAAGCCATCAGCCTAATACTCTTTGTATGGCAAGCTGTTTTAACATTTATTAAATATTTTTTTACATTAAAATTTTATTGGTTTAAAATTTTCCAACTAAAAATTTTAGGTTTACATTTATAAATTTAAAATATTTTCAACTATCATGTATTAAAATGCAAAATTGACTAACTAAAGGTCCACTTCTGTATTAAACAATATTATTTCCAATCAATTTTGCAAAAAATTTCAATCATTATTTTTTAATCAAAATAATTTATTTGGGCACAATTGGGTAAATCTTTAAAAAAAAATAATAAAATTATTTAGATTAAATTGGTAAAGTTTAATTTTTTAATATTTATAAGTAGTGTAGACATTTAAAATAAAAACACATATATAAAACATTTTCTACCAATATATTATAAAATGTTAAATTTTTTAAACTCAAAACAATTGATAATCAAAAAATATTTTAAATATAAAATGAAAATGTAAAAGTTTAAGTTTAAAATATTGGTTTTTAAAAATTGTAGTTTTAATATTTTATTCTACATAATTATTGGTTTAAATTGTATTATCAATGTATCAATTTAAATTTGTTAAAAATAAAATTATTAGTATAAATTTGTTAAAACCAAAATTCTTATATTTCATTTAAATGTTAGTTTTAAATTTTAAAGTGGTAATTTTTGGATTAAAAATTTATCATTTAAATGACTCTTAACAAATTTATAGCAATAACTTTTATTTTTAACAAATTTAAATTGATTTTTAACAAAAACATATTCACATAACATTTAAATGTAAGTCGATAATTTTTAATTCACAAAGTGTAAATGCAACTTTAGCTGACTGCATATGCTGCAGACTTCGCGCTTTGCACAATTGTGGCGCTTTGTACGTTTCACCGACTATGGACTACGTACAGTATACTGTGGACTACGCTTAAAATTGACCACTCTATAGAAAAAGACAGCGTACGCCGTCTGCTAAAGCTACGTTTACACTTTGTTAATTAATATTATCGACTTAAGCTTAATTTTCATGTATCCGTTTGTCCGTTAGTCCGTTTATCCTGGAGCGCTATTATTGGTCCAATTATAATTCGAAAATTATGACATTTTATCGGTCCGTCAAGTTTCAACTTCGTACGTCTGGCAGAGAAAGTTAAAATAATTTTAACTCATCCGTCACTACAAATCGGTTTTGACGCATAACGTTATTTTAAGATAATTTATTTTCAAATCTTTTAATATTTCTTTAAAGATTGCAAGATTTTAAGATTGCAGATTTTAAGATTGCAAAACGGAAATATTACGTTCGTTATGTGAATAATGTTCTACTGTTATGTTTTTATTCAATAAGAATAATGGAAAAAAGAAAAGACAAACAAAAAAATTAAAACCAGAACTAAAAGGACCTGGTTTTTTAAAACTATACATTTTAATGTAAATTAAGGCTAGTATATTCTTTTTATATTATATATTTACCTACCTTTAAATTTATCAGCCAGCTAACAGTTAAAGTTACAATTGTTTACATAATTGTAACTATGACAATTAAGCATTAGTTAAATTTAGTAAAGTGAATATACTGACCCTCAATTTATATTTGTCACCAAATCAATCCGTTAAACGTCATTAAAAACGGATGCATGAAAATTAGAACATTTCTTATCAGACAATCTTATTGAAAAACGGACAAATGGATAAAGGACAAACGGATAACGGACAAATGGATAGATGAAATTTAAGCTTTAGTTGTTAAATGATAAATGAAATTTAAGCTTTAGTTGTTAAATGTAGATTTAAAATTGTTAAAAATAAAAAGTTTTGGTTTAAATTTGTAAAGTCATTTAAATGATAGTTAATACATTTTTAATAAAAAAATTACCACTTTAAAATTTAAAGCTACAATTAAATGTAATGTGAGAATTTTTGTATTAAAATTGTATCAACTATTATTTAAATATTTTTAAGCTTAAATTTTCACAGTTGTTTTTATATTTAAAATGTTTTTTGACTATCAATTGTTATGAGTTTAAAAAAAAATAACTTTGTAAATTTATGTTAAAACATCATTAAAGTGGTAAACTTTAATTTTCAAACTATTATCTAATAAATGTTAAAACGGCGTGCCATATCTTTGGTTGCTCAAATTTAAAAACGTATTTTTGAAAGAAAATATGAAAAATAACACTGGTGCAGAAGGAAGAGATTTTAAAAATTGATTATTACAGTTTATTTTGTACGGAAATCTCATGAGCGAGCTCGTGAGATACAAAAAAAAATGGCGTATGAAAACAAATGTAACTTTAAAAATAATTATCTTGAAATCTGTGCTGTATAAAAATATAAATTTATTTGTAAATGTGTCTGATGCCTCACAAAATAATAATACATTCTATGGAAACTCTTCAAATTGAGATACTACCTTAAATATAAGATAATATTAGTTTTTTACCAAATAATAATGAATAACTCTATCTATTCTTTATTTGGGATTTTTCTTTAACTTCATGAAATAATAAAATGATAAAAAAACTTTTGCTTTCAATAATTAGATAAATTATTATTTTTTAAGATTTGAGCATAGCTTTTAAATACTTAATCCCAAATTCCAAATAACATAATATCTTATTAGTAATACAATGTTACTTACTTTTGCTAACAATAGCAGCACCAGATCCTTTATCGAGAACTTCTTCGACGGAAACTTTAGAAACAAGATTTCCTTCGGTCGGTACTTCCCCGCACACCTCGATGTACTGTTCCCCGTGCAAAACTTGCTCTAGACCGATGGTTTTTCCGGGAACGGCGTCGGTGGTGGTCCTGGACATCATCACCGCCATGAGGGCCGGTTGCACGTAATAAGTTGGCAGCACTTGAAAATCCTCGTGGTTTTCGTACAGGAATTTTAGTTCGTTGGTTGCTCCGGTAGAGGCGCCGACTAAAAATAAGAGGTTCATCGTTTTTTATCAGGGTTTGAAAAAATCATGATTAAAAAAATCAAAAATCAATGATTTTTATTAAAATAATCAAATAAATCAACAAAAAAATATTTTTTTAATAAAGTGTACCTACTATTAAAAAATATGCCAAAAATAACTTGACTATAATAATATTATATTGGCACTACATTATAAACAAATAAGCCACCGTCCGCAACTGTCATATATTTTTTTGTATATTCCTTTATTATTTTATTTAACAAAATAAGCAGTTTTTCTATGCATATGAATTTATTTAAATAGTGTCAAGATATTATTGTGCTTTAGTTTTAGACCTTTTAAGTGTTTTTTTAGATTTTGGAAACTTTTTTAAAATTAATTTAAATTATTCCATAAATCACTCGATTTAAGTCGTTGATTTAAATCGTGATTTAAATTAAATGGTATAAATCAGGCGAACCTTGATCTTTATACCCATATAGGTACGTAAAAATACTTAAATTGTTGCTTGGGCATAAATAACTTTTGAAGTTTAGTTTTCAAAAACTAAACGAAACCTTTTTTGTAAAGCATTAAATCTTGTGCAAAAATATAAGAAAAAATTGCATATAGGAATAACTAAATATAATTATTAAGGAATCGACATTTAACAGGCGTCTTATGTCCTCTTGCTACAACTATTAAACATGTGGAATTAAAAAAAAAAGATTATTTTTTTCAACCAGTCTAATATTCATATCTTGTAAACAAAACAAACAAACTTTCAGGGCATTTATTATTAATTTTCAAGATTTAAAATCCCGCCTTTTTAAGTCATTTTTCTTGAAAATGGGACCAAACATTTCAATAAAATGGTTTAAATCTTCACTTAACGGTTTAATCCAACAAAACTATACAAAATATGTCGCGCCGTCAATTTCAACCACTAAACAAAGAAAACAGTCAATGAAGTTGCTTCGAGTGTTGAATCGGGTAAAGTCGTCTTAGCAAGCGTCATACGACAGTACCTCGTGAATTTTGTTGTGTTGCTCTTAGGACTAGGGTTTTAAAATTTCCGGAAGAATTGAGCCGGCGAAAAAAAAAGGGTTTTTTTCGGAAAAAAAGGGAAAAATTGGGAAATTTTCAGAAAACCTTTTGAATTTTTTTCATTTTATTCTTTTTTCATTTTATTCAAAGGGCAAATCAATTTTTCTGAAAATTTCCAAATTTTTACGGATACAATCCGTACACTGATATAAAAAAGTGAATTTCCGACGCTGAGTTTAATCATAATATAAAGATTATAATAATTACCTATTCCATTTATTTTAATTCAGTAAGAATATTCTACCGGGTCGCAAAAAACATATTCGGTGGTGTATTAACATAACTTTCGTTTTATAAATTTTATTTAATTATTTATTTATTAAATTATTAAATTTATAAAATAATAAAATTAAAATTTTGTAATTTAACTTTATAAATTATTAACTATTTTGTAATTGTATATTTTCAATGGCAAAAACCCCCAGTATATTTAACGTTTACGTTTATTTTCTTAAATCGGTTTAATTTAATTCAATGCTTAGGTTTATTTATTTTTTTCTGTAAGGATATTTTTTTATATTAAAATAATGTTATGTTGTTGATTGCAACTTTTTTTTTCTCTAATTTTTTCGGTATTTTTTGACACTTTAAAACCCTACTTCCCAAGCAACAATTTAAGCATTTGTTACGTATATGGGACTATTGAATAAACTTAAAAGTGTTTTGCGACAGTTGCCGATCTCTTTATATTACTCTTTTATTACTAAGTTACGACTAAAGTGGGGAACAATTATTTAATTCAAAAAGGTAACAAATATATCACTAGATATAAACCCTGCTACTATTTGGAACGTAGCTGCTACGTTACTAGAACGTTTCAATATCGTTGCTAGAGCGTTATAATTACTTTTATTATTTTGTTTTTACTTCTATATTAACTGTCTTTGTCAAACTTATATTAGATTATACTATCCCTCTTTTTTTAAATGGAACCACTACGGACTTGGCCTTTCAATGTCGACGTTTATTAAATATGTACTGGTAGTTTATAACAATAACAATATAATGTTTAATTAGGCAGGTTGCGTCTTGACTCTCGAAGGGTAAGGATGCTTAAAGATAGTTACGCAGCAGCGTATACGATACAAACGTAGTAAAGTATCAAAGTGAATCTAAGTTTGCGGAAATACCGGTAATCGGTAATAAATAAATAAATAAATAATAATCAAACAAGTGCAACAATTGCGAAAAGTGCGCCGTAAAATATAATAAAAAAATCAATATCGATTCTACACGTGATAACTGGTTAACGCCGTAAAATAATAAAAAAAAACAATATAGATTCTACACGTGATATCCGTCCCAAGTGCAAAAGAGTGCAAATTGTGTGTGGTACCTCCCCCTGGACTGTCCTCAAGTGTTTGACCTGATTAAAAGGTGTGAGAGAGACGATCAGTTCCAATGAAAATTTTCTGGGCTACGACACGTGCGGCATACGATAAGGATCAATTTTAGCACACTGCCTGGCAATATCCCGAAGTCCAAGTCTGCATAAACTAGATAAGTAGCTACCAAATTGCATGAACATGACCACCCAATAATATTAATACTAGTTAATTCGAAATACGCAACCTTTAATTAACAATAATTCTTCAGGTAAAATTAATTAGTCGCAAACAATTTAGAAGATTCTCATGCAAATGAAACAGTAAAAAAAACGATAAACACAAGGGCACATAAGAAGCCATTAATCACTCAAGTTACGATAAACATTAGGCAAAAGAAACCATCCTAAAGAAACTATTTATTTATGTTTACATCTATAGATTACGAAGACGTAAGGGGTCATAAATTAAGTAAAAACCGTTAAGTAAGCGTACGCACAGTGGGAAAAAATAAATAATTCGAGGGTCGACAATTCCGCGTCTTCCGTTCATAAATAAAGTAAAGCGTTCTAAGAATCACTGGGATCATGCACAGGGGGAAAAAAATAATTCGAGGGTCGACAAATCCAGTAGGTTAAACGTATTTCCACATAGTCAGAGGGCAATATTACGGCGGGGTGCGGCCGGCAACACTTCGGTTCGGAAGATACGACTCAATAACACACAGGGGGGCAAACAATTCTAAAGCGGCTATCAAGAAGTACACCATCAAGGAAAGGCGCTAGCAGCATACTAATCCACCCACCCCCATTCAGGAATACCAAATGAATGGGGTTATTACTAAAGCCCTGGTTTAGGAGGATTCCGGATTGTACTTAGTTTTGGGTCAGTTCAATGTCCTCCAAAAGCCCTTCCTAAACTGGACGTATGGCCCGACCCGGCTGACAAAAATCCCGGGAGCTGCCTTAACCTTTGACACTGTCATCCACAAACTCCTATGGTGGATCTACCAGCCGGCGTAAAAACTTCGGATCCAACAAACACAGGTAATGCTGTGATTTGGCGGGATACGCAGGAGAACGGAAAGGGGGTAATATAACCCCGGGAGATCAGTGGATGACAATATATCTGGGGCTTGCCATACGTTCCCATACTCATACTCATGTTTAATTAGGCAGGTAAATTTATAAACCCTTTAAATTTTACTGTTGAACTTATGAATTTAGTTTTTGTAAAATAAATGCGCTTTATCAATATTTAAATAAACAAATTATTTATTTAATAATGTTTAAAAATAAAAAAATCTTAATATATATGGATAACGCTTATCGAAAAGGAACCAAGCGCCAAAAACTTTTTCTAAACTTAGTAAAATTCTTTGTAAAATAATTCATTTTTAATAGTGCTCAAAAGGTTGATCATCATTTGGAACTTTTCTCAAAAGGATTGAGAGGGTTCCCAAATCATTATTAATTTTTTGAACAGCATTAAAAATGAGTTATTTTGCAAATAATTTTGTTTACTTAGAAAAACTTTTTGGCGCTTGGTTCCTTTTCGATAAACGCTATCCATATTATTAATTTTTTATTTAATTATTAATTTTATTAATAGGTACCGTCTATTACCAACAAAATTACTATTTATTAAAAAGTAAACAACCATTTACAAACAATTAAAATAATTTATTATTTACATTACCACGTGGTACTGTACAGTAAAAAAAGGCCGATAAAAAGCATTTTCCTTTGAAGTAGTTTTCGCTACTTTAAAGTTTTTTTCCACCTTAATTTACTTTAGGGTAGTTTTGGTTGGTACCATAAATGTTCCAAATACTAAAATAATAACTTTTAAGTTATTAACTTTGTAGTTTTTAACTTTTTTAAGTGACTACAAAGTAAAAATAATTATAATGTAATCTTTAGGTAGCAACCGAAAGTAACTGCTACAAATTAAATTGACTTGAAAGTTTTTTTAACTTATAACACCTTTTTTAAAGTTGCAAAGTAAAGTAGCTGTTTGGTATACTTAACTACTTTAAAGTTATCACCACTTTGGTAATGGTTTTTGAAACAAAAAATGCTGCTTGGGTTAGGACCGTAAACATTTTTGATAGATAAGCCATAACTTTGTTACATTTATTTCTTATTTTTTATAATATAATCACTTAATCACTGAACCATCGCAAAAACTTAAATTATTATTTTAGATAAAAAAAAATCACCTACCTCCTAAAGCATACAAAATGGCATCTTTGCTGGTAAAACTAAACGTATTTCCATCGGACCCTCCTTCTGGACCCGTCGGGTTGCTTAGCCTCTCCAGATCGCTCATGAGTTGGCCGGTGGCCTCCTGTATGGAGGCGAGTCTCTCGGCCCCCGTGATGTCGGTCACTTTTTCCCAGCTGTCTCGTACGTTCTCCACGGTCACGATATCGGATATCTTTGAACGCAGCAAGTTACCCTTTGCGCGTACGATGGTACACTTACCGGCCCATCCGGCAGCAGACTCGATGATGGAGCCGTTTTCTTCGCAGCTTTCGTGGCACAAGTAAGCCTGAAGAGAGATTTTCATTTTATGATTTTTCTTTTTTTCCAATGTTTTGTAATGGGCACGATATATAGGGTTGTTTTAAAATTGTATTGTGTTAGGTATGATTTCAATTTAGAATACGATATGCTCTTTATTTTGTTTATTATGCTATAGTAATTTATGATTCCCATCTGACCGACCACTTAAGGGGTCCTTACTGAAAGACCAAATAAGTTTTGGTACAGTTCCTAGTCTTAAAAATAAACATAAAAAGAGCGTATAAAAACCTAGAGTATACAGTTACCGTTTGCTGTCTGAAGAGAATAGTTGAATTCTTTATTTGTTGTAAGGGAGTGAATTTAACTCTTAAATAACCAAGGTTAATGTTTAAATATAAAATCAGTTTGTGTTATAAATAGTGGTGTTATAACTAGGTATGTTTGTTTTATTTTTACTATTATAATCTAAGGTAACAAAGATCATAATGAGTGGTTAATTATGTAATATTAACTATCTTGTTCTTTGTGAAAGAAGGACTGAGCTGGACTTTGTATTTTATGGTTGTGGTTGGAAAACCCAAATTACATATTTATTATAATCATTAATCATATTTATATTTCACTTTGACATAACATATTATATTGTAATGTAATGTACCATTTTCCTACATGTCTATCTAACTTTATTTTGTACAGTTTAGGTTTGATACATTGATATTCATTATTTAATATGTTGAGACTTTGTTTCAAGTTCTGCATATTAAACGAGTTATTTAATTAACTTTGTTGACGGTTTCTGGTCGGTGGATACCAGCGCATCCAATTATCAATAATTACCAATTAACCAATTTAGACTGACAAAGAATAGGGTTATTTTTATATGAAATTAATGTTATTTATGACTGTACAATTAAATTGCATTACCGTTGTCCACTACTGTACCACTTGTTATTTATAAATTTTATTTATCACTGCCATTTATTATCTAAGTTATTTTTATACTTTATGTTTCACGTTGTTTCTTGTTGCTGTACATTGATAATTATTTAAATTTGTTTTTGTTTTTCTACACCGTCGGAGCCTATTATTTATATAGGTGAATAATCTTGCCAATATGAGAATAGGATTTGCATATGATTTTGTTGTATTATTTATATTGTTGAGATGATGATACTTTTAACGATGATACTTTTCAAATATAAATATTTTTTATATTATTAATGTACAGTAGCAATAATATTAATATTAATTAACTTTTGTATTAATTGCCTTTATAAATAAACTTCTTTTTAATTTAATACTTTTTAAATATATTTTCAATTGCTTAAGTACTACGTATCCAGAACCGTATTCACAACAAAAACGGGTCCTAAATTAATTTCTGTAAACTAGACGATTGGCCAAAGGTAGTTTTGTTGTGTTTTTAATATTAATGGTATTTTTCCGTTTTTGTTATCGAAGCGTTTAATCTCTACTAGGATAAATTTGATAATTTTTGAATTTTTTTTAATACGTTGCTTTTGATCTTTTAAACATTAAATTTATATTAGTAATATTAGACTTGATTTTTGTTTTACTGAATTCATGAATAATTGAAATGTTAATAACATAATAAACAAAAATACCCAAGCGAGCAAAAAAGGTTAACTTTTTTTCAATTTTCAACATTTTTGATTGATCCTTATTTTTTTAAATTAAGCTGATTTTTGGAGAAACCTCTTAAAACATTATAAACCAACATATTTTCATAGGAGACTCGAAAAAAATATTTGTTATATTTTTATTTATAGCCTTCTATGTATAGGTATAATACTTATAAGGCTATTTTTTATTTGAAGAGCTACAAAGTCGGTTAAATTAGATAAAAGTTGGTTAAAAACGTAAAAACATGGAAACCTTACTATTTTTCAAAATTCCCGAGAATAACGAAGTTATAACGATTTTTGATTTTGACAGGTTTTTAGTTATTTTAAATTATTTAAGATCCGCTGATTTATTTTCAATGTTTAAATATCATTTTAATAGACTTTTAACTAGTAAAACCGATCATTAGTTGGCACAGTGAATTCAATGGTGTGTTATTCCCGTTCATTGTTTTGTGTGAACATATGACATTTGTAATGGTATACTGAGATACATTTTTTCTTAATCTTATGATAGAATTTTAAATTGCAAAACTCATAGTTTATAAACAAATTTATACTATTAACTTTTTTAACTTAATTTTTAATTTTTTTATTATGATAATTCTTTTTATAAAAATATAAAATTTAACTGTCAATTTTATTTGTTACTTTGGTAAGTGTCTTGACTCTTGAGATATATTGCTAAATCTGATTTGTATAAGTTTATATAAATCATGGTATGTTCATTTGCAACAGCCAGAATAATTTGTTTTGTTGAAGAAACTTGTAAACTGACTGTAAGTAATAAATAATGTTATAGTTAAATTCTGTATTATAAATTACGTTTTAGTAGAAAACACATTTACAATATTTTATTGAAAACTACCTTGTTTTTTTTACTAAATAAATGCTACTTTTTAAATTTTGTTATTTAAATAGTGATGAATTAAAAAAAAAGTTTTCTTTCAAAATACAACTTACCACAACTGGAGCAATCAACTCGGGCTTCAACTCGGCATACAAGTCTGGCGGCAAAATGTCTTCGGTCAGTCTGCTGGCAGCGGTGGGCACGATCACGTTGCAGTGGATGTTGCTCTTGGCCCCCTCGATTGCGACCGTGCTGGCCAGGCCGACCAGACCCATCTTGGCGGCCGAGTAGTTGGCTTGGCCGAAGTTCCCGTACAGACCCGAATTCGAGGAGGTCATCACGATCCTGCCGTAGCCTTGTTTCTTGAATACCGGGAAGGCGGCTTGCGTCGCCTTAAAACTGCCCTTGAGGTGGACATTGTGCACCAGATCTGCCAGAAAGCCGTTTGTTAGTTTTGCGAATATAAGATTGGAAACCCGGTATATATACTAACATATTAAAAAGTATTTTAAGACTTTGATTGTCGATCATCGAATACGTAATCTACGATTTTTTGAGTTAAAAAAAAAAAAAGAAAAAATAGACATAAAAAAGACTTAAACTTATGTTAATTTTGAATAATTCTTGATATTATCAATCATTTTAGAAATATTTTTTCGTTCTTAGTTTTGCTTTGAATGAAAACTTTTCATTTAATTTAATATATTGTATACTTTTAAAGGAAATAATTTATGTATTTCAAAATAATAGGGAGTTGCGGTCTTAAATCGCACACTCTATATATACTTTTTTTTATTAATTGTAATGCGACTTGAAAAAAATATAGGTATATTTTTTAGGTTTTTTTTCAAGATTAGTCCCATTTGCCTAATTTTTTATGTTTCCAGTCCAGTTCATGGACTAAAATTAGCCACTAAATGACATTTAGTAAATTTAAATACAGTCTCGCGCTTTGCACGCGCGGCGCTTGTTTTGATTTGGTCCTAAAAAAGTAACTACCTACCTATAATATTTTTGATTCAGCACTTGATTTTTCAAAAAGCTACCAAAAGCACTTTTTTTTCATGATTTTTCAAATTCATGTAGAGTATGGACATTTTTTGTTTCAAAAAAACAATAGCAAATTCTTGTAGAACATTTATTCATTGGTGGACCAAAAAAGAAAGCAAAAAAAAAATTTTTATTACGGTATTTGTTAGAATTAAGCGTTGCACGTTTTTCAAAAATCTAAAAACTAGAAACTTCAAGCTTCAAATTGCTTTTTTTACGGCTCCAATACGACCATGTTTAACGAAGATACAGCTATCAGAAAAATCGCAAAAAATTTAGATTTTTTTTATCCTTTAATTTTTTCTATTAGTGTAGAAGTTTTACATTGCTATTGGTTTCTTATGTGGAAACTACTTAATAAGAAATCAGATTTTTTAGTCTTGGTCAAAATTTTCAATAATGAAAAATGTAATATATTCTACATTTCACTTATTATTAATATACATTTTACTCAAAATTTCATTTTGAAAATACTTGAAAAAAATATAGGTATATTTTTTAGGTTTTTTTTCAAGATTAGTCCCATTTGCCTAATTTTTTATGTTTCCAGTCCAGTTCATGGACTAAAATTAGCCACTAAATGACATTTAGTAAATTTAAATACAGTCTCGCGCTTTGCACGCGCGGCGCTTGTTTTGATTTGGTCCTAAAAAAGTAACTACCTACCTATAATATTTTTGATTCAGCACTTGATTTTTCAAAAAGCTACCAAAAGCACTTTTTTTTCATGATTTTTCAAATTCATGTAGAGTATGGACATTTTTTGTTTCAAAAAAACAATAGCAAATTCTTGTAGAACATTTATTCATTGGTGGACCAAAAAAGAAAGCAAAAAAAAAATTTTTATTACGGTATTTGTTAGAATTAAGCGTTGCACGTTTTTCAAAAATCTAAAAACTAGAAACTTCAAGCTTCAAATTGCTTTTTTTACGGCTCCAATACGACCATGTTTAACGAAGATACAGCTATCAGAAAAATCGCAAAAAATTTAGATTTTTTTTATCCTTTAATTTTTTCTATTAGTGTAGAAGTTTTACATTGCTATTGGTTTCTTATGTGGAAACTACTTAATAAGAAATCAGATTTTTTAGTCTTGGTCAAAATTTTCAATAATGAAAAATGTAATATATTCTACATTTCACTTATTATTAATATACATTTTACTCAAAATTTCATTTTGAAAATTTACTCCATTTTTTAAGATTGATGGTATTTATTGACAGAATATGCTTTATTGTAGCGTATTTGAAAAAAAAAAAACGTTTTTTTTTCTAGTTATTTTTTCATGTTTTTTTTACATCCGAAAAAAAACCGTTTTTTTACATCTCTAATTGTAATCGCGATTATTGCATTTAGAATCGTAACCGTTATCGTAATCATCGTATCAATAATCGTTGCATCCCTGCTATTTAACAAAATAATTTTTTATTTAAAACTTTCTGCACAAACAAAAATGTGTATTTCTAATTCGGTTTGCATACTTTTAGCATTTTACTTTGGTTATAATAATAATTATCTTAATAAATCCTAAATAAACACATCAAAAAGGTTCTAGCAAAAGTATATCATTTGTTTAATTATTTAGGGATATCCTGAAATGAAGAAGATATTTTGAATGTAAAAAATATTAAAAAAAATTGTTTAACAAGTAGATTTTTAGATAGTTTTTGAGGTACCTACTATTAGTTTTTAATATTATATTAATGATGATTAATAAAAAAAGGTTTAAAAGCTATCTTTTAATACCTTTTCAAAAAAAAAAGTTTATAATAAAAATGTTATTATTTCAGTTTTATCATGAAATTATTATTATTAAGACTTGGTATAAACATAAATTAAGCATAACAGTGTTCTCAACAGAGAGTGGATAAAGGGTCAATTGCCCACTCCATACCAACATATAAATAAATATTTTAATATATTTAAATTTTAGTTAGGTAGCAAATTAATTTATTCAATATTCAATAAGTAAATAGCAAGCTAATTTATTCAAAATTCAAAAAATGATTGTTTTAAATTTAAAAATGTTTTAATTACAATTTTTAAAATCCCTAGCCTCCAAATAATATACCTATTACACTACAAGGGCCGAAAGTTGAATTTTCGAACATTAGTCGAAAGTACTTTCATACTACTCAATAATAGCAGGGACAAAAGTTTACCTCGGTCGAAAGTACGTACTTTCGTCTCTAATAACACAGGGAGTAAAAATATTTTTTCTTACTACCTCGGCTAAAAATACGTTGTTTCGTCCCCGATTCTACGGCAGAAAGTTTACGTTTGATGCATTCGTCAAGCTATACGTATTTTCGGCCGAGGTAGTAAGAAAATGTAATTTTCTTAATACCTCGGCTGAAAATACGTTGTTTTGTCCCCGATTCCACCTCCACCGCCCTCTATAATATCGCTCGTGCCGCAAATGTCGGGGCAGGCATCAATATGTTTCGATATACACATACACATTTTTCCCGTATTTTCGGCCGGGTAGCAAGAAAAATAGTACATATACACTACACGGGCAGAAAGTGTGAGAGCCCTGAACTGCGTGCCATGATCATGGCGCGCAGTGCAGAAATCTCACACTTTCTGCCCTTGTAGTGTAATATACTATTTCTTCATACCTTGTCCTTTGTGTCATTGACAGGTATACAAAAAAATATATAATAATAAATTATTATTATTATTATTAATAATGATTATTAGTCATTGACAGGTAGGTATACAAAAAAATATAATAATAAATATATTATTATTAAGGATTAGAATCAATATTTATTAATAAAAATAATATAGGTAGGTACATGTAGGTCGATGTAGGTAGTACCTATACCTAATGAACTTTATTGCAAACAAGAAATACAGTTTTACAATTAGCCATTGACAGAGGTCCATCAACATGGACTGCAGTAAACAATATTGTTATATAAAATAAATACTTAAATAAATAAAATAATGTACCTATTTAATAATAAAGTACCTAATTTAGTTGATTAATAGGTAAAAAATTAATAAACAACAAGTGGTTGTTTAATTAAGTAGGTACAATTTTATTTAAGGTATTTAAAATTTTAAATGCTTAAAATAATATTGTAGTTTAAAATATTTATTCTCACCCCAATCTTGATCTGATATCCTAACAAAACTTTTATCACGAAGAATGCCAGCATTATTGATCAAAACATCAATTCTTCCAAAATTATCAAGAGCAGTCTTAATAACTTTATCTCCATCCACTACAGAATTATAATCAGCTACTGCTATTCCACCTATGACAATCATTAACCAAATAACAAATTATAAGCACAACATATCATCCAACAAACCATTTCTTTTGATTTCGTCAACCACAGAGTCAGCTGCTTTTGAGGAGCTGCCATCCCCATGTCTCCCTCCTCCCAAATCATTTACAACCACTTTTGCACCACGGCTCCCAAACAGAAGAGCGTAGGCCCTACCCAAACCAGCCCCAGCACCTGTAACTACAACCACTCTTCCATCAAACCTTAAATCAGCCATTGTGTTGTTTGTCAACCAAGGACGGCTCGAAATAAACTAAATTAAACTTTGTTTGCAATGTAGACGTTTAATTGATATGCTTTTGAACGTTGACCTCATAGAAAGTTGAAACTTGAAAGTAATGTTATTTAAATGTAAAAATAAGGTTATGTACTTTGAAGGTAGGCAACCTGTATTGAGTAATTAACAAAAATTGCAAATTTATACAAAATAAACGGGTTTTAACTATGTTTTAAGTACTGATGACTATATGCGGTGTTAATGAGTTTATTATGTAATTCAAGCTATAGAAATATTGTTTATTAACATAATAATATTGTACACATAATTTATTATGAATAAAAATCCAGTTGTCGTTGTTTGTTAACTAATCAATTGTTTGATTTTAATTATTGAGTTAAAACGTCAAAATAAAAGTTACATTTCGACAAAAGGCGCGTAAAGTAAGTAAATTTGTATATTTTTCAATTTTAAACCGCCCGCATAGAATAATACGTATTTCCGCATGCTCGCGTCGATAGAGAAATCCCCACCCACGAAAGAGCACACGTGCAAAATGCATTTTCCATTTACAATACGCGCAGGAATTATTCAATTAGCGGCTTTATAAGTTGAAAGGTGTAGGCCAAGTTAATATCTAGTCTCAGCGTCTATCTCAGATAGTAATTTATCAGGAAACAAATAAATTGTGGTAAGAAACCTTGGGTTGAATATAGCTTGAATAAATGTAAATCGTTCGCAGGGCGGGGCGTAAAAAAATAACTTAATTTTAACGCCACGTGTTTAGTGTTTAGACATTTTGACGTATATTGTTGTATTTGTGCAAAAGCATTAGTTAATAATTTCGTTTAGCACGTGTGTTTAAGTAACACTTTTTTTATTTAGAAAATCCGACTTCACCAGTTTCAACAGTTTTACAGTTTCTTCATTTGTTTGTAGATATAGGATAAATATGGTACAAAACGATAGTTCAAATTCGGGAGACGAAAGTAGTCCTCCTGTGATTCCGGAAAATCCTGCAAAAGGCATTGACAGCGGTAATTTCCGTTTGGTAGGATGGGGAATAGATACTACGGGACGTCGCCTAATCGACGAGATCTGTCAGATCGCCGCTTACACTCCTACATCGCAATTTGCCCAGTACATTATGCCATTTGCAGATTTGAACCCAATATTCAGTCGTAAACACAGTATGCGAGTGGTAAACACAGTGCGTTACAGGCGCCTAAAAGATTTGAAAACCAACCAATATGTAAAAACCAAGAGCGAAATATCCGCTTTGACAGACTTCCTCCAGTGGCTAGAAGAAGTAAAAGGTGACTGTGATGGTGTACTTCTTGTCTACCACGAAATCCGTAAGGCATCACCTGGAATGCTTTTGGAATCCCTAAGGAGATACAGTCTGGTTGAGAGGTTTTCAAATGTAGTCAAGGGATTCACAAACGGATTCAACATTGCCCAGGCAAAGTGTGCAAATACCACAAAGTCTTTTAGTTTAAAAGTTATGTCAAAAGTATTATTAAATAAGGAGGATGAAATATTCAGCAATGCTGTTGAAAGGGCAAGAGCATCCTACGATATTGCGGTACACCTTGCACAAGGTGAGCGCCAGGAGTTGGAAGCCAAAGCTAGTGGAGATTGCACTGGTCAAGAACCCCACATTGTTGGGTTCATGTGTCCATACACAAATTCCATATCCGCTGAGGAAGAAGAAATTGCTGGTTTCAAGGTATGTTTAAAAAAATTTTAGGTAAAAAAAAATAATAAAAAAAGGGATTAACAAACAGTTCTTTTATGTTTTTTTTGAAAGCATTAGTTACAAATATTGCATTGCCAGCAATATATTATGTGTTTAAAATTATAATAGATAAAATTTATCTTTTATTATGCAGCAAAAATAAAATTTATAAATCAAAACAAAATAATTTACATTTATTTATTTATTTATATTTCTTATTATAAATTTAAAGACTAAAATATTTATATAATTTTATGAATAAATAACTTGAATATATTACGGATTTTAGTGCATTTTAACTTAAATGTCAAAAACGTATCATTTATTTATTTATTCATAATACAAAATAATAACGCTAATTATCTAGATTTTGCGTGTATTTTCCTCGGGTTTCAAAAATATGATATTTGATTAAATATGTATATCAGTAGATAGATATTTTTATATTTATTTTATAATGATTATATATTTATGTATATTTGGTGTTTATTTCATATACCTATTACATGTTTTTTATTTATTTTTCCGTAAATAATGGTAACCAAAATAACCGCCCGGCATAACAACGTGAATAATGAATTATTCACGTTGTTAGGCATCAGTGATTGGCTGATTTCAATAGTCACTGTTATTTAAACCAATCGGGTTTTAAATTGGAAAAAAGTAAGGTTAACAGATGTCAGACTTGTTTATATATACGAGGGGCGACTATAATGATTTTTAAAATAGGGGAAAAGTAAGCTTATAATAAATTTTATTATCAATGAAAATTACTTAATTGGAGTAGAAAAAGCATAGTATTAGACTCGAAATAATGCGCATTATCTCTTGTATAATTTGACAGATGTCAGATTTTATTTATTTAATTTTGAAAATCATTTAATTATCTACTTATTGGAGTGGATACAAGTATAGTATTACACTCGAGATTAGGCGGAATATTCAATAGGATGACTTTGGTCTCTCGTCTGGCGACTCGAGACGTAAACCTCATCCTCGTGATTCACGAGTCGTGAATAATAGCCTGCATTATCTCTCGTATAATAAACTATTATTTAAATGCTAAATTCCCAATTTTCAAATTAAAACAACAGTATATAAAGTTCGTTTTTTTATTGGTACTCCTGTTCAAGCCCTTAATTTTAAATACTTTATTAGAAAAATTATATATTTTAATATTTAAAGTTTACAGTACAGGGTGATACCCTATAATGTCGCCCCCCTTAATTTTTTTATATTAAGTGTCCCAAAAAATTTAAGTGTGGTTATGTAGGTACTAAAAAATATTTTTTTTCTACCTAAAAAGAAAATTGGAAAATTGATTAGTATACAGGGAAAAACAAAAAGTTTATTTTTTTTCAATGGATCACTCTATATATGTATTTATTTTTTGATTCCTTGTAAAATTCTAAGCATATTTCATATAACATACCATATACCTAAATTCAACCGTTTCTGAAATATTTAAATTATTTTTAAGATAATAAGTTGAAATAGTTTCTCTTTCTCTGTCTGAGTACGACATTTTTACTTATTTAACAAGACATATTGACATAATGTCACTATAGTAATTTATTTTCAATAAAAATTTTGCTATACTGACTCAGTATTACATTTCTAACAGTTTAACAAAACATTTAATGATAAAATTTCGATAGCGAATATTTCAGAAACGGTTGAATTTAGGTATATGGTTTGTTATATGAATTATGCTCAGAATTTTACAAGGAATCGAAAAATAAATTCATATATAGGGAGATCCATTAAAAAAAACGTTTTGTTTTTCCCTGTATATTGATCAATTTTCCAGTTTTTTTTATACGTAGAAAAAAAGTATTTTTTAGTACCTACATAACCACACTTTTAAATTTTTTGGGACACTTAAAATAAAAAAGTTAAAGGGGGGCGACATTATAGGGGATCACCCTGTACATATATGTATATCAATATACAGGGTGTCAAAAGTTATCTGCTCACAATTGCTAACTTCGTTATTATTGGAGCTACAAACTCGGTTAAATTAGCAAATTATTGACATTTTTTCTTCTGAATAAAATGTCAAAACCAAAAATAATTGAACGTTGGGATTCCGAAATATTTAAAATAATATAAAAAATGAACACATGTATATTTTTACATATTTTGAAAGGCAATTTAAATTAATTTATTATTTAATTAATTAATTTATAACAAAAATTATTAGGTACTGCATAACTACCCTAAACTTAAAAATAAACAATAAGCACTTTCTGATTGTTAAAATAACCAAATTATTACTTTATTTCAACAATAATTAATAAACTTTCAGATAGTTGTTGAAATAGGGTAGTTATGCAATAATAATAATTGTTCCAAAATAAGTTGTCTTAAAAATATGTAAAAATATACAGGGTGTCCCATTTAAAAAATGTTATTTTGTGAATATTTCGGAAACCCTGCTATGATTTGAGTTAGGTACCATCACCATCTTTTGCTTTTGTAATAGCCACCATAACTTATGTAGTTTGATACCTACATTGTTGGATTCTTTGAAAAGATGGTGGTGGTATTTCAAAATCCAATAGGCGCAAAAAACCAAATTAGATGAAAATGTAGATAAATGTTTACATGTAAAACTTACTTTTTTTCAAAATTCCCAGGAATAACGATTTTTGGTTTTGACAGGATACTTGCTGCAACCCTGTATATCGGCGTGATATCCAAAACCCTAATTATATAAATTAAAGACTTAATTTGTTCTTTGTAGAAAACACTAGGATTTAAATAAGTCATTTGGACAAAATATGTTAAATTTTTATATTTCTGTGGGTAAAAGGCAAAAGGGGAAAAGTCAAAAAAAGAAACTTTTTAGTAGAGCATTAATTCAGCATACATATATGATACGAGTATAGCATCAACTTTAAATAAAATCTGAAAAGAAAAAATATTCTTTATTCCTTAAGTATGTTGTTTCCAATAATTATGTATTATTTTGATTTACATTTTTAAAACTATTATTATTTTTAAAATTATCTTTTATTCATGGAAATAATTTACTGCCAAATATAAAAATCAAATGTGTCCAAACAAAAACGAACTTTATATTGTGCTAAATCTACTTTTTATATATTTATCTTAAATTTGTACTTTTAGGTTCTTCTGGAAATACAAAATACCTACAGGCCAGTGTTTGGAGCTTTGCTGAGAGCAAGTAAAACTGAAAGACAAAAAGCAAGCCATTTGAGAAGACTATTGGCCGAAAACAATATAAGCTATGACAAGTCCAAGGAGGCATATGAAAAGAATGCTAAAGAAGGACTAGGAGAACTCATTAAAACTGAAGTGAGTAAACATTTATGTACATGCTTTACTTTAGTTTTGTATTTTCTTTGCTGAATATTATAATATTCCTATTATTAATTAAAACCAAATTAATTTTTTTAATATTTTATGATGTAATAGTAGTACTTTGGTTGATGATTACACATGCATAGTTAGTTGCAGATAATTTTTATTTGGTCAAGTTTTTTTATACAGGTTGTCGCGAGAATGGCGCGTTGTATGGGGGCTATTTTAACTATTAAAAAATTACAAAAATAACAGTCCTGTATATCATAATATGATATATGATATTATGTGCATCTCAAAGTCATCTTGTAAGGGTTTTATTATAAGCACAGAGTGGTCAAATTTATAAGTTTTGTTTTTTTTAAATATCTTCTGAAATATAAACGATATTTTTGGTATGTCTAAAGGAAATACAAGTCTTAAAGTATTTTTGTTTTTTAATATTATACAGGGTGTTTCTTTTAACTTGAGACAGCTCAATATCTCGAGAAATACGCATTTCACGGAAAAATGTCTTAAATAAAAGGTTAATGTGACCAAAGGGGACATTATTTGGTGCTACCGCTAGCCACCCCCTACCCCTCCTTAAGGGTGAAACGGGGGGTAACTTTGGAAAGTCAAATGGAATGACCCCATTTTTTTCACAGAGTTTGGTAGTACATAAAAAAATGAATAACTTTTATTTGAAAGTTTTTTTCAATTTATCAACAGATGGCGCTGTAATTCAAAATTTAAGAAAAAGGGGTTTCCTTGTAAAATGTATTATTTGAAACGTTTGAAAAACAAAAATTAACATTAAATCAACAATAGTCGGCTCTGAAAACAATTTATAACAAATGTTCGAAATGTCGTCCTTCCATTTCGACACCAAGTGGAGCACCAGCGTCCCTGGTCGGTAAACGTTTGGTGCGGTACCTTAAGCGAACGATTAATCGGACCCTTCTTTATTGACGGTGCATTAAATGGCGAAAAGTACCGGAATTTTCTAGAAAACGATCTGACGGACCTTTTGGAGGATGTGGGGTTACTTGAAAGAAAAAGTTTACGCTGCAATTCCTACAACTTGGGAGGACATGGTGGAGCGGATCAGGAACGCCTGTGCGGCGATACCGCCCGATATGTTGGCGCGTTGTGTGCCAGAATTCATTACCCACATTCAAAAATGTGTTGAAATGGAATGACGACATTTCGAACATTTGTTATAAATTGTTTTCATAGCCGACTATTGTTGTTAATGTTAATTTTTGTTTTTCAAACGTTTCAAATAATACATTTTACTAGGAAACTCATTTTTCTTAAATTTTGAATTACAGCGCCATCTGTTGATAAATTGAAAAAAGTTTTAAATAAAAGTTATTTATTTTTTTATGTACTACCAAACTCTGTGAAAAAAATCGGGTCATTCCATTTGACTTTCCAAAGTTACCCCCCGTTTCACCCTTAAGGAGAGGTAGGGGGTGGCTAGCGGTAGCACCAAATAATGTCCCCTTTAGTCACATTAACCTTTTATTTAAGACATTTTTCCGTGAAATGCGTATTTCTCGAGATATTGAGCTGTCTCAAGTTAAAAGAAACACCCTGTATTTACCAGATGACAATTTTTTCTTTATTGGACCAAAAAAATTCTTGCTAAGGAAACTTGAATAATTAAATTAGATTTCTTGGTCCATTTACTAATTTTTACTAGTTTTAAGAAAATTTCATACAACAATCATTTTATGAAAAAAACTTAATTTTAAGCAAATTAGTTAAATTGAAATAATAATAAATTATCATTTGCATTTTTTTTTGTTTTTATCATAGATTTTTTATTTTACTTCCTCAAGACTTTAATTTGATTAGTTTTACTTTGCTGTTAGTATGATAAAACCTATAAAACTAATAATAATAAATGAAAAACATGACAAAAATTTAGTAAATATTAAATTATTATTAAATTATCACCGGCGGAGTTATATACCTTTTTGAGGCGAAAAATTAAACGATTTTATTTAAACAAACTATACAGCATCAAATAGTGTTTGCAAAATTCAAGTATAGTTTATTTGTCAAGCTACCTTTATTTTTAGAATTATCAGCTGGTGAATATTAAATAAATTAAAAAATTTATTAAACCATCCAAAAACTGGTTTCTACATCTCTAGAACTAAAATATTTATTAGATTTTTATTTTAGCCAATTAAAACATTATAGTGGACATTTTCTACTCACATTATTGGAGAATAATTTGACCCCGTTATGCAACAAAGAACCAAACAACATATTTGCAGTATTTACTCGTAATAAGGAAAAACGTTTCAGACTTTTGATTAAAAAATTTATTTATAAAAACACTTTAAAACTGAACAAACGCTATCATATTTTACTATATATGAATAGGACAATAATTTTAATGAGCAAAAACACTTAAAAAGTTATTCCAAGTATGGAAAAAATACCTGGTTCCCTATTGCTTAATTGAAAATTTAACAAACATCACTTGGGTCCGCAACCAATTTACAATAAAAATAAAAAAAACTTACGTATGTCAAAAAATAAAAGTTTTACTCTAAGAAAAACACTTGGTTCTATATTGCGGAACAGGAAAAAATATATTATTGGTCAAAGTCAAAGTCTAACTTGCCATTATAACCATCTATGTCTTCCTCTATTGAAGGGTCTCCTATTAGACTAGTATAAAAATTATGATCAGCCTCAGAAATAACTGCGTATGTCATCTAGTTTTGGCTTAGCCACTGGTTTCCCGTTTGGCCATAGCGATTCCAGTAACTGAGAAAACTGTACGTCTGAATCCATTGATTTTTTTCTCTTCCTTATATTTATTTCTTTATATTCAGTTTCATCAACATAGTCAGTTTTTATAAAGATACTAAATTTTTTTTCTCTAATAAGTTTTATTTCTTTTATATGGAGCCAATTAACTTTTTCACATTTACAACTTTTCTTTCTGTTAACAATTGCTTTTTCTAATGCCCTAGTGCTAACGAAATCATCTTTTTTTATTTCATGTACGTCAATGGGTCGCTTCTTTTTACATGTTTTCATGATGTTTATGTAATCTTGAGGGCAAAATACTTTATTTTGTCTCTTAATCGCGCATTCTTCGTCACCGAAGTCGCTATCGTTCGGTAGGAAACTATGACCAGACACCAGAAACCTTAATCTAATACTTTTTAAATGTACCGAATCCTCAAGAATACTTTTTAGCAAGAGAACCATTTTTATATTGCGATTCTGTCCACCGCAGGAATCGCTCCAGAGGATGATGGTTTCCACAGATTCGGATACAGAACTAGATAAAATATATTTCTTTAAACAGGAACACACTTCTTGAGCTCCACGGTCCGCTTCCCCTTCGATCCAAACATTAAAAGTGGATATTTTTTTGCTTTCCTGCATAAATCCCGCAATTATAGTAGTTAGCCGAGGAAGAGGTAGCGTCTTCTCCATGTCGAAAGTTAGCGTTTCCGTTTTATCGTCAGTGTCTGCTTTAGAAAGATCTAAATTCATTTTTTTTTCTGGCTGTCTCTGCTTCTTCCAAGTGTAAATTCTTTTCATTTTCGATTCTAACTTTTTCATGTCCTTCAGTTAAACTTTTCATTTTTGTGCTAAACTCATCACATTTATTGCAAGTATCTTTTTTTGTTTTTTTCTGTCTTAAATTAAATTCCGTTAAAAATATTTTTTTGCTTACTGAAATATTTAAATTTTCAATCTTGTAAAGGTTGTACATGACTGGCAATGTTGTTCCTTCTTTCAAAAAATCGGGGGAATTTGTTTATCTGGGAGACTACGGAAGCTTTTTGTTCATTTGACATTTTATTGTGTCCTCCGCTAATACCACGCCTATCTAATACTGTCAACAATTAACACAGAACTCCGTAAAACACGTGGGAAATTCGCAAAAGGGAACCAACACATCTCAGAATTAGCAAAAGGGAACCAAGTAACTTTGGATCTTTATAGTAAATTACAATCGAAATAGTTTTGGTTATGCAAGTAAGTTCTATCGTCCGCCAAATGGCGCTAGAGCGCCAGATCTTTGGATCGCTATTGCAAATCGGGGGAAGACAATATTTGACTATGTATATTATATATACATTGTATAATGCAATTAACTCGTTTTTTCGTAAATTGTCGGTTGGTTCCGTATTGCATAACGGGGTCCAATTTAAAGTATTTTTTTGAAATTTTCGAGCATTGTTGTTACGTCAAAAAATAATCCAACGAATACAACACGAGATATCGTTAAATTAAAAATAATTATCCAGATCTTTCCTCAAACCTGTTACCATTTGGCAATACACACTCGAGCCCTTCGGGCTCTTGGGTCTCTTGCCTGGCACGGAAATATGTCGAATTATTTTAATAGGCCAGAAAAAGCGTAACCCAATCCTTTTATACTGCCCTACTATGGAGAAAGGCAGTAACTGCAAAAAATGCAAAATGCGTTTTCTTGTGCTATGGTCAAGCTATGGACATTTTGTAACCGAATTCAACACAGAAATGAAGTCAAATATCTCATAAGTTAAAAAAAATCAATTAAATACCTACTGCTTTTTATAAAAATGTAGTTTATGCTAATTTTCCACAAATTTCTTGTTTAGCAGTTACTGCCTTTCTCCATAGTAGGGCAGTATACCGGTTGACATTTTTTCAATCAAAAGGGCATAAATTCAATAGTACCTATATTTAAGGCCAAAAAGGATAAAAATGTTATTTTTAAAGAAACGTCGAAATGTTGTAGATTGTAGTTTATAAAAGTTGCTTGAGAATTACTAAACAGCATATCCACAGAAGTACCTTAAATACATGGTAGAAAACAAAGTTATTGTTTTCAATACCAATTACATTTAAAATCTAGCCACAAGTAAGATTTTAAATATAGCGCCCTTGAAGTAACCAATCAAATACGTTGATTTTTCACCAATTAAAAGCTATGTTGGCAACAGTTGCCTGTAAACACGTAATTTAATTTTTAACCAAGTTCAGAGAGGGCGCTTTATTTGGCTCCAAACTATATTCTCTTTAAGATAGTCATCTATTAGTTTGGTTTAGTAAATTTACTAACAAAATGTTTACTCAATGAAAGTAGCTTATAATTTTAAGTGCTACTTGCATGAAAATCTACTTGTTTCGCGTTGGGAAAGTTTAATTGTACTAACAACTTTCTTACTTAGATTGCAAATGCAAAAGACGAAGAATTGGAGGAGCTGTTGGAAATTTTGGACTGCTTCTTTGATCCGGAGAAAAAGGCTGTGCAGCCCAAGATCAGGCCCGGCTACAACAACAACAACAACAGAGGGCCGAGAAGGAAGTCGTACAACCAAAACAAAAACTCCACCTCGGAATCGCACAGTCCGAACGCGTCGAGCGACAATCCGGAGAGCGCGGAGACCTCTCCGAGAACCGACGCCGAGGTAAAAGTCGAACCAGTTGAAGTGCAATAGTCGCAGGTTAGTTGTAATTTGTGCCGACCCCCCCTCCCCCCGCGTTTTCACGAAAAAATGGATTTTGTTGTCAGGCCGTTAAAAAACGTGGTAGATTTATTATTATTATTATTAACCAAGACACACTTTCGTTTCGCTTTATTAATATAAATATATTATCGTTGATTCATTTTGCAGAATTTTGTTTAATTTATTTTTAATAACGAAAGTTGTGAATAAATAATTACGACATGCATTGTATTGATAAATAATATTTAATGTTATAGTTGCATTTTTTAAGAAAAGAGTTTTATGTTTATGATTCACGAATTTCGTGATGGTTTTTTTATTTTGTGATAATAGGTGATTTGTAGTAACATTGATTTAGAGTATTTTTGTTACATACCTGTTATTTATTAATGAGTTTAATAAAGTTTATATTAACAACTCGATTTTTTTATTCCCTAATTCCTAAAAGAAAACCACCAACTTGAGAAGAAGCATTTTATTGCAAAATAATATAAGAAAAGATAGTATCACAAAAATATTAAAAGATTATTACAAACAGTTTTTGATATAATACTAAAAAATATTTTGGTATTATTCTAAACAAAAAAATCTTTAAGTAAACAAAGCAAAAATCTATTCTTTAAAATAAAATTAAAATGGCGAGGTTTATAAATGACGTTTTGTATTTTATCCTAAAATCTTTTAAAGAAAAATTAAAAACATCACTTTTTAATAGATTTCAAAAGTAATAATTTCACAAATTTTTCCTTTAAAAATATTTCCAATAATAATAAAATAACTAAATCTAACAAAACAAACTTTAAAATAAAGTAAAAATCATTATAAGTATAACATACTAAACAAAATAAGGGAACATAAATAATACATAATACTAAAAATTTCAAAGCAAAGCAAAAATTTATTCATTTAAATAAAAAATGACATTTTTAAAATGAGGTTTGTAAATGACGTTTTTTATTCATGTTTTAAAGAACATATGTGTAGTATATACTGCATACTGGCAAATTTCTTTCAAAAGTTAGTTTTTGGAGGTAAAAGTTGAACCAGTTGAAGTGCAATAGTCACAGGTTAGTTGTAATTTGTGCCGACCCCCTCCCCCCGCGTTTTCACGAAAAAATGGATTTTGTTGTCAGGCCGTTAAAAAACGTGGTAGATTTATTATTATTATTATTAACCAAGACACACTTTCGTTTCGCTTTATTAATATAAATATATTATCGTTGATTCATTTTGCAGAATTTTGTTTAATTTATTTTTAATAACGAAAGTTGTGAATAAATAATTACGACATGCATTGTATTGATAAATAATATTTAATGTTATAGTTGCATTTTTTAAGAAAAGAGTTTTATGTTTATGATTCACGAATTTCGTGATGGTTTTTTTATTTTGTGATAATAGGTGATTTGTAGTAACATTGATTTAGAGTATTTTTGTTACATACCTGTTATTTATTAATGAGTTTAATAAAGTTTATATTAACAACTCGATTTTTTTATTCCCTAATTCCTAAAAGAAAACCACCAACTTGAGAAGAAGCATTTTATTGCAAAATAATATAAGAAAAGATAGTATCACAAAAATATTAAAATATTATTACAAACAGTTTTTGATATAATACTAAAAGTATTTTAGTATTATTCTAAACAAAAAAATCTTTAAGTAAACAAAGCAAAAATCTATTCTTTAAAATAAAATTAAAATGGCGAGGTTTAAATGACGTTTTTTATTTTATCCTAATATCTTTTAAAGAACAGGGAATATACATAATACTCATATTTTTAGAACAAAAATTAAAAACATTACTTTTTAATAGATTTCAAAAGTAATAATTTCACAAATTTTTCCTTTAAAAATATATTTCCAATAATAATAAAATAACTAAATCTAATAAAACAAACTTTAAAATAAAGTAAAAATCATAATAAGTATAACATACTAAACAAAATAAGGGAACATAAATAATACATGATACTAAAAATTTCAAAGCAAAGCAAAATTTTATTTATTTAAATAAAAAATGACATTTTTAAAATGAGGTTTGTAAATGACGTTTTTTATTCATCTTCATATTTTAAAGAACAAACTGCATACTGGCAAATTTCTTTCAAAAGTTAGTTTTTGGAATTAGATGAATAGTACTTCTGGAAGAAAGATTAAAAATATCACTTTTTAATATATTTTAAAAGTGATAAATTCACAAATTTTCCCTTTCCTTCAAAATATTTCCAATAACAAAATAACTAAATCTAACAAAACAAACTTTAAAATAAAGTAAAAATCATAATAAGTAATTATACTAAACAAATGGCAAAATAACAAGTTTTACGAAAAAGCAAAGCAAAATGTTATTCTTTAAAATAAAAAATGACATTTTTAAAATGGCGAGGTTTGAAAAGGACGTTTTTTCTTCATCTTCATACTCATCTTAAAGAACAGACTGCAAACTTGTAAATTTCTTTCAAAGAATAGTTTTTTGAATTAGATGAATGTAAGTACTTCTGGAAGAAAAATTAAAAATATCATTTTTTATTTAAAAATATTTCCAATAATAATAAAATAACTAAATCTAACAAAATAAACTTTATAATAAAGTAAAAATCATAATATGGCAAAATAATAGGTTTTACAAAAAGGGATAAGGAAACTACCAAAATCCTTACAAAACAAAAAAATTTTTAAGAAAACTAAACAAAAAATCTTATTCTACAAAATACCAACCTTTTTGCAAAGTAATGATAAAAATGCCGCGAATTATTTATCTTTTAAAGAACAGACTTCTTCATGTTGAATAATTTCATTCAAAAATCCTTTTTGGACGCACCCTTTATCGTCATATTTGCAAGAATATTCCACATACTTGCAAATTCCTTCCAAAGAATAGTTTTTGGAATTTGATGAATAAGAACTTCTACAAGAAGGGCATTGAGTTACTCTGGTTTTGCATGCACCACAAATACTATGTCCCATTTCACAATTATGTATTGGTGGTCTCATCAATGTTTTGCAAACTTGACATTCCAAGTATTCTGTCAAACCTTTTCCGCTTATATTAGTATTTTTCAGGATAAAGGTTACCTTAATTTCGCTTGTGCATAACAATTCTAACAAATTCAAACCATTGTCTGGACTTACACTGCCATAAATGTTATTGTAAGAACATAGTTTGCTGTTATTTGATACCCTTCCTACTACTGTATCAATTTCTACAGAATATTTTGTATGTTTTTGTGTTTTATTTGTTGTGCATAGCATATAAAATAATTTTCCACTATCTATTTTAAGTTTTAACATTAAAGACTCATCATTTATTATTATCAAATTAATTAATTCCTTCTGATTTTCTTTGCAGATAACAGAAAACATATCAGAATCAATTTTTATTACATTATCAGCATGACATTCCTTAAAATGCTCATTTATTTTAAAATTATTATCTTGCCAAATACAACTTTTTATCGGACACGGTTTTGCTTGATACATACAATCTTTCACATGTAACAAGTATTTAGCATGTGGAAGAATTTCGGAACATCCTTCTGAAGTAAATTTACAAGGTATTTCCAATTTGGAGATTATGTAATCTATTTTAGAATTTATAAAAGATATGGTAGCTTGGTTTGAATATTTTGTTTGATAGCAATCATTGCATACGTCTCCTACACCATCCACCATTTTCACAGGCGAGTTTAACACATCCTCGCAGGAAGCACATTGCAAAATTTTGTTTAATAAAAGATCATCTGTAAAGTTTTTTAATTCGTTATTGCTTTTTTTCTCTTCCGCCATTGTTGAAAGTTTGATTTGATATGGGAAATTTGTTTTCTGTAAAAAAAATAATTATTTAATTCTAAAAAATGTTTAAAAATTTTTAATCAAGGGGATTATCAAGCCAGTCAACTACATTTGATAAAATTAAAAAATACGCCCTTGAAAAAAGGGGATGTACCTATCAACTGGACTTTCACGGAAATGTCGATAAATGTGATGGAATTTGCTAATAAAAATGTTGGAGTTTGCCTCGAAGTAATAGTACTGATAAATCCATATAATAGTAAATCTGCTCTGTAGCAGTCTTTAATTAATCTATAACAATGATAATCCAGAAATTGATTTTGGACGTTTCCTTGGAGTGCGTCAAATATACATTAATTAATATACACTCAGAGGCAAAATAATCGATCCACACAAATTTTCGATGAATTTCAATCGCAAATAACTTGTTTATTTGATGTCGGATTTAAACGAATATTAAAGAATATTGTAGATAAATTAATGGATAATCGCTCACATTTTAAAAAATTACTAAAAAATACACGTACGTTTATAATACACAGGTTTAAACAAAAATATGTTTTTTACCATAAGTTTAAGACACTCTATAGAGTGGCAAAACCGTATATTGTTCTAAATTAAGTTTTAATTATTAAGTCACATCTATTTTTAACAGTTTTGTTTTTGATTTACCTTGATATATTTATTTTTGTGGAAAATATGGATTTTTTTAAAAAAACATTGCAATTTCCAATATTTTCCTGTATGAAGAACTAAGGTTGCTATGGTCCATCCATAGCCTATGGAGGATGACAGTGACAGTTTTGTTGAATCATCCCATACTTGGACATGTCATATACATCTTTTAAAAGCTATCAAATTGTTTTTTGTAAATTAATGTGTTAATTTTGAGGTGTCTTCTTACTTTTAAAAATGTCTCCGACTGATGTTGCCCTTTGTACTTTACTTCTTGTGACGTTTAAAACACTTGCCAGGTAATACGGTGACCGTCCATCCTGGATTAAATTAATGGCTCTGGCAACATCAGTCGGAGACATATCCATTTTTTAAAGTATACTTTAAAAAATGGATATGTCTCCGACTTCTTATAAGAAGACACCTCAAAATTTAAACATTAATTAATTTGCAAAAAGCAATTTGATAGCTTTTGAAAGCCGTATATGACATGTCCAAGTATGGGATGATTCAACAAAACTGTCACTGTCATTCTCCATAGCCTATGGATGGACCATAGCAACCTTAGTTCTTCATACAAAAGAATATTGGAAATTGCAACGTTTTTTTTTAAAAATCCATATTTTCCACAAAAATAAATATATCGAGGTGAACCAAAAACAAAACTGTTAAGAGTAGATGTGACTTGAAAAATAAAACTTAATTTAGAACAATATACGGTTTTGCCACTCTACAGAGTGTCTTAAACTTATGGTAAAAAACATCTTCTTGTTTAAATCTGTATATTATAAACGTACGTCTATTGTTTAGTAATTTTTTTAAATGTGAGCGATTGTTCATTAATTTATCCACAATATTCTTTAATATTCGTTTAAATCCGACATCAAATAAACAAGTTATTTGCGATTGAAATTCATCGAAAATTTGTGTGGATCGATTATTTTGCCTGTAAGTGTATACCGATATAATACATATATGCAGGGTGATTTCATTGTGGTTAACAAAGAAATGGGTAATTCTCCACAAGATTTGGTGAAGAAAAGTTCTTATGGATGTTAGGGCTAAGTATCTTAGAATTTGAGATAAATAGTGTTAAAAATGCAAAGAAAATTAAAATTTTATATCATTAACAATTAACAACTAATAAAATTGACTTTGGAGAAATAAATGTTTCACTTTGATCTGATTGTTAAAGTTTCTAAGCCAACTGCTTAGGTTCTTGAGATCTTAAAAAGCAGTTATTGTATGTATCTATCGATTAAATATTTTTATGTAGGTATACCTACATAATGTAATCAATAAAGGCACAATACTTAAGAACGGCGAATCATATTAAAAAGTTGCAAGAGATGAAAAAATTGCAATTATGAATGAGCATTTAGGAACAAAATTTAAAAAACTCAGAAATTTGAGATAAATAAATTCCGTAAAATAACAACACCCTGTATATTAAATGCAAAGTTAGTACCAGCTGGTACCAACTAGATTATTGTAGAGCATCTTAAAAAACTATAGTTTTTTAAGTTAGTTATGCAAAATTGTGATTAAGTAATACCTAAAGAGTTTTCTGAGATATGATATATTTTATATAAAATTTAAATATTAGTAGTTAATTAGTAATAAAGATTTTTGCTTAGGACAATAAAGTCACTTAACGTTAAACAAATTGATATTGATTTTTTTATAAAAACCTTTTAATCATGCACTAAGTTTATTAAATAACAGTGTGCCATATTGCTCATTATTTTGAGTGTAATCCCATTGATTAAGGTACCTATGCAATAAACGCTAATACTGCTTTTTCTACTCCAATTAAGTAACTTTCTTTAGTACCTAACAAAACCTTACTTTCTCCCGGCATTAAAGATCATTATAATCGCCCTTCGCATAGGTATATAAAAATGACATCCTTTTGTAAGTTCCAACCTCACTTTTTTCCAATTTAAAGCTCGATTGGTTTAAATCACAGTAAATATTGAAGTCTGGCAATCACTGATGCCTAACAACGTGAATAATGACTTCATTTAATAAACTTCATTATTCCCGTTGGCAGGCGGTTATAAAAGCAATAGGAGTGGATTTGTTTTAAATCTTTTAGTAAAAATCCTATGCTAAACTTATACAGGGCACCAAAACCCTTGTCTAGGACCCCCTCCGAATTTTACTTCTTCGTACGCCACTGATTATTATTAGGTATTTAATGTAAAAAAATATTATATGAAAAAACATACCTGCCTCTAATCCTAATCCTAGTTGTTGACAAAGGGTTGTTATATTAATATAATTAGCAAACGTTTGCTAGTTGTCTACGAACTTGCTAAATCGTTTAGATACGAGTGCTTGTTGACAAAGCTAAACATTTAAGTATTTACAGAACGTTTATGGGGATTCACACACCCACTACATGCATACTTCTTCTTCTTCTTCTTCAATCTGAACACAAAAGCAGTATTCAGGGGTAATGGCCTTTAGCTTATTTACAAGCTATTTGGCCAGCTCATTATGTTTTAAAATTTATTTAATATGATCAAGGGTCTCAATCAAGAGAATCTGAGTTCAACTCATCCCTTGAGTCATTTATCTATTATCTATATTCTACATGCATACTTCACATTTTGTAGTTTATAAGAAACAGTGTTGCCAACAGTACATTAATAAATTTTGACTGAGTTTACTAACCTTCAATGTGATTTTTACTAAAAATTTTTAGATATCCTACAAAAAACTACCTTCTGAATTTCTTGATTAATTTTATAATTTCCTAAAATTAATTGCATTACAATTCTGAATAAAATGGCATTTAATTGATAAATCAAAAATGTTTTATTGTTTAGGGGTTTAAAGTTTATTAATATTATTGATGATTTTTAGTGCATTTGTTTAAACTTTAAACAAATGCACTAAAAATCATCAATAATATTAATAGGAAATACCACCCAAAGATATCTAGATATATTATATAATACCACCATCGAAACACTAAAACTCATACCCGGACAACCTTAATTACGTGAGGCATTTTTCTGATAATTTGGACCCCCTTGGTGATATGTGGTAGACCCCCCATCCCTCACGTGAGATTTTAGCCATTAAACTTTCTTTGCGGACATGTAAAAAAATATTAATTTTTTTTTGAACAAATTTGAATTATAATACATATTTTTTAAACTTAAAAGAGAGATTTTAAATGCCAGCATACTATAGTAGAGATTTTTTCTACTCCTATTACATAATTTGACCGTTCTAATATCACTTTTATCTATGGAATGACATATATTCCGTAAAGTGCACGATGATAGAATATTTCATTTTGTAACATGTTACAAAATGAAATATTCTATCATCGGATGACAGAATGAACACTCGTGGCGACATCTCTGTTTTTAATATCTAACAAATTTTAGACAGATCCAACCTCACTTTCTTCCAATTAAATTATTTTTCTATGGTATTTTTTGGAAACGTAGAAAAAGTATAGTCTGAAACACGTTTGGAATTGCATATTCCGCTCTCGTGAAACCGTAAAACTCGCATTCGGCTCGTGTGACAAACTCTTCACTCGAGCGGAATATGCTGTATTCCAAACTTGTTACAGAATATACAATTAAATGCCAGTATACTATAGTAGAAAAATTAAAGTACCTACTGAAATGGCAATAAAAACTTATTGACTTTGGGTTTTTCTCCAATTTTGAGAAATAAACATTAAACTTATATGAACGTAATTTTATTTTGTACTTTATCATTGCACTGTAGGTATATCAAACTTGGATCTTTTATCACAAAATAATACATATATGTATTATTTTGTGATAAAAGATCTAAGTTTGATATATTATATTATAACACATAAAATAAACACATGCACATAAATAAACTCTAAACATCAAAATAACAAAATAGATAATTATTATTAGGTGTTTTCACGGTGCTAATCCCGAACTAGTTCGGACATCCTAGGCATGCGCATTTTAATATTTGCGCATGCCTAGGATGTCCGGAATTACTTCGGGATTAGCTCCGCGAAAATAACTATTATATTTACCTGTACAAAAAAACTTCGAAAAAAAACAATATTGGTAAAATAAAAAAAATAGTCTACCTATCTATAATTAATTTTCTCTTTTAACAACATCTTTAAAGATTGAGGTATTTGGCTTCAATAGTTGCATGCTTTGCATGTAAACGTTTTTTATCTTATTCGCATGAGCAAACAGTTCTAGAACGGTTCTTGGCGAACTTGGAACAAAACTTATGTCAACACTGAGTAGAAAACGCGCGCTTCCATGAAATATATTTGTGTATTAAGAGCGCAAAGTGATACATTGCCGCTCTGAGCCAGAAGATTGACAAAGTAACTTTGTCGCTCGGCGAGCGACAAAGTAAAAAAACGCTCGCTCCTCGTGAAAGTGCAACTTTGCGCTTTCTTTTGGAAGCGCAAATTTGTACTTTTCGCTTAGTTGTAGTAAAAGTTTTTTTAACAATCATAGATAATAAATCAATTTGGATATATGCTTTTTCTAAGGAGTTCACCAAAAATTTGTAAGAAATGGAGAAATTCATAACTCGATCTGGGTCCGAGACAAAAAAAAGGTAAGTTTGTGGGATTTTATAGGTTTATAGTTTGTATAATTTAAATTACTTACAAGCTTATAAACTTACAATTGTAAGTTTCTGGCAGTTTGTAAAATTTGTAATGTGAGTTTTGAATAAAAATAAATAATTACTTTGCTTTTATTTTTTAATTATGTTTTTTTTTATAATTTACTCTCACTATCGAAAACTATCGATAGTTATCGATAGTAAAGTGACCAAATATCGAATAATATCGATAGTGCCAACTATCGATAGTTTTAGACCTCTATGAAGGGCTAAACTCGCAACTTGCTCGCTCCAGCTACTAGAGCTTGACCTGTGGTCGACATCTGAGTAGTGCAATGGACAAAAGGGATTAAACTCGCAATTATCCGCTCCAGATAATTTTACGTGTGTACAGACTATTATTAAATCAGTCTTTAAATCGATTATTTTCATATTCAAAGTAAATATAATAATTACTAGTAAATAACAACGCTGCCCAAATACCTATACATTTAGATTACTAAGAAAAGACACTCAGTGATAAGCTCACCTGTTTAGCTTGTAGTTATTTTACACCCACAAATATAAAGAGTCTTGCACTATAAAAAGTATTTGTATCAACTGAACTAAACAACAACTTCAACACACTGCCCATACATGAATGATTCAAATCATTTTACGTTACTTAAGACTTTTATATTTTAAAATCTATGTGTGTACAATAATCATAAATCAAAGCCCTTTATCGCACTTATTTCAAGAGCGGCTAAAATTTCATCAAGCAGTTAATATAAACAGTCGAGCGTGTGTTTATGTATTCCTCACGTTTATTTTTCGTCATTTAATTTCGATAAAAAAAGGTTTAATAGAATAATGACTTACAGGAGAAATACTAGGTCGCCAAGATGGTTCTATGACTAAATGTATGGCTAAATGTAGCAATGTAGCAATGTCACAATCCAGCCTGCCCTTAGATATATTATACCCATTGAGTACTCAATGTTATACTTCTATTGTTCAATGGGGCGGTGGGGGCCCAATGGGGCGGGATCGGTTGGGTTGGGTTGTTAAGTTTGGGTTGGTTTGGTATGGCACAATGCAGTGTACCTGCATAACCAAGATGACAGCTAATCGTCATACCCTTGAGGAATACTTAAGTAGCAAATTTGCTACATTTAGGCTCTAGTGTTTTATGGTGTTGTTATTGTGACGTAATAGTTAAGATTTTGGAACGCACTCTAAAAGATTAGGTTAATACCATAGTATTACATAGTTTTTACGTAAAAAAAGACTATAGTTTTATGGCGCGTTCATTAAATTTGAAAATAATTTTGAGTAATGAGTTGCAACGGTCCTATATTTCTTTGCACTACCATTGATTAAGTTGTCTTCACTCAACGGCACTACAATATTCATCCTGTTTATTTTTAAACTTGTACTATTGGCCGCTAGATGGTGACTAATGTAAGTAATGTAAGTAAATACCACATACTGGAAGTATGTGGTAAATACACATTTTTCCTCCTGTGGTAAATTGTCTAGTAAATAAGAATGAAAATAAGGGTAATTCAAAAGGATTTTTATTCATAATAATTTTTAATATAAATTTGTTTATAAGTAGTTTTATTTAATATATTTTATATATCGGCCAGATATATAGCTAAATATTTAGCTAACAATTTTAAAATTTATTCATAGCAAATATAATTTATAATTAATTAATTCAATCAAAAAAACTATTAAAATAATATTATGATAGATAGCCCGAATAATTCCAAAATGTAAGGAGGGTGAATAAAAACAAATGTTCAGAAAAAATCAAACTTCAATTTAGTTTAGTAAGCTTTGTAAAAACCGTTTTCAATGGTTAGTCAATGGTAAAAACAGTAAATTTTAGCGCGCGGATTCCCAGATTTTACTATTTGTAAATCTGCATGCTAAAATGTAGTTTTCTTATGATTCGAAGGCGCGCCCATGCGTTATAAACTTAAAATTGCCAAGGTAAGTCAAATTAAAGCAAAAAACCTTGAACATTCATTTTTAAATTGGTCCTAATATGCTTGCAAAAATATATTTTAATATAAATTTTTATAAAACAGATAACCCCTAAGACACTGTTTGGACTCAAAACTTTTGAGTAATTTGAATTTATTATTTTCATTGGGTCTATTTACTAAAAATTTTATACCATTTTTGTTGCTCTCGACATTGATCGGTTTAACCGAATCTGTTATGCTCATATATATAAGTATAGGTAGTTAAGTTGTCCTTGCAGAAACAATTATTAGTTAAAAAATGTACTTAGGTAGGTAAGTAGTTATAAGAATATATTCTTGCAGTAACCCGACGAAATATAATACACCTACTATAGTCACGGCCAAATCTATATGGGTGCACGTCATCAATGAGATATAATGACGTCAGCATTACCAACTTTGAATTGTAAAGTTACTGCCGTTAAATTTGCTTTTTTAAGGCGTAATTCTGTGTGTTATTAAAAAGAAATCATTCATTTGCGTATTGTTTACCAAGAACTGTAACAATTTCCTTGTTTTAAAACGTTTTTTCACGAAATTATCAAAATAAAACCATTCACTTAGTAATTTTTGTGCGTGCCAATTGGTAATAGCTTAAGGCTGGCGCGCACCGTTCAATATTATTGATGGGTCGCTGTCATTTTATATTTGACTTATTTTTGTAATTGTGACATTTCGTCCGGAAGCATCGTTTGTTGCAAATTATTATAAATAATATTATACATTATGTTTATAAGATTCTATCCCTGGATTGTGCAAACAATGATATAAGGCTTGTTGGCAACTAGCCGTTATTAGATTTCGAAGACATTGCGCCCTTAATAATAAATTTGGGGAAATAATCAGACTTCAATTCTGACCTGGTTTGCTCTGATGACAAGGACAACTGGTAATTTATTATTTCTGTGTTTCTGATAATTTAGTATTTTTTTGTTATGTGCATATGTAATAAAAATGTAATA